AACTTCCAACATTTAGCCCTCAATAATCCCTGCTGTAATATAATAAACTAATATAATTTCAAACATTTGCTGATATTTATCATCACATCTATACAAATGCTTGATGTTCATCTGAAAAGAACAAGCAGAGAAAACTACCCAGACTTCTTTTGTATCATTACTTTTAAAGTTTTAGTTTTATACATAATATAATCTTACCTCAGACCTCTTGATCCTGTTTTCTAGTATTGCTATATTAAACCCTTAAAAATCAAAACACATTAGTGTTAGTGAGAAGTAAAACAAACTACAATTTTCAGTACACAAATATTTCAAACTGTAGGGTTCTGAGGACCAGACATTTGTCTAACTTTGGTTGCAGAACTATGCTATAAATCTGCTATAACAAAAAAAGTGGAAAGTTACAATTGCACTTTCTATAAAACACAGTGAAATATAGTAATATAAAAATGTTTTATTCTAATAATTTAAAAAATTATTTCTTTCAAATTTTAGATGTTTGCTGACTTCAATGAGTAGCTAATTAATTCAATTATGAATTAATTAGTTCCAGGAGGAGAAAAAAAAGTAAAAGAGATGTCATCCCAGCCCTGCCTAAAATTCCACTGTACATTATGAGGGGTCTATTTTATTATACAGAGTAATCAGAATTGCAACATCTTTTTTTATGTTGCTTTTCTTTATCTCCTTCATTCCCTAAATACACACACACATAATTAAAGAAGACAGGCAACATGGCTGAAGCCCACTTCATAGGAAAAATTCATATGAAAAATATTTAACTTTATTGAAGTATTCTGACTTTTAAGCTTGAACTTACTTTGTTGCATATCCTTAAAGCATTTTGGAATGTTGGACTCTGGGCATGAGGCTTGTAGCAGAAAGCTGAAGTCAAAGCCATGCCTTATGATCTCTTTCTTCATCAGGAAAGGTAGAGAGGTGTGCTGTCCCATCTGTAATGTTAACTGCTTTTTACTTTGACAATGTGCCACTTGTTCATCTGGCCACAGTCTGGTTGTTGGTGTTTTTTGGCTAAAAGGCAAAAACAAAAACCAAAATACAGTGTGAAAATCAGTGGAAGGCTCCTACTCAGTTCAAATAATCACTCAACTTGGGACTAACAGGAACAAGAAACTCAAAAGATGCAAGAATCCCAAAGTGTTTTCTCTTTCTTGATCCATCTAGGAAGCTGTGGCTCTCCCCAGCAGCATCTAACTGCTATGGCAGCAACTGATCACAAATACCAATGAATAACAAACAACACAGACAAAGACACAGTATGAATAGGAAAACATATTGCCCATCTCCCCTTATTGATAAGAACTGATTGCTTCCAGCATGTATTTTTTATGAAAATACATCATCAGGAAAGTATGTCAAAAGAATTCTGAAGACCAGGTGGTGTGCCTTTGTCATTTATAAAATATGCTATGGCCTGCCTGCAAGAATAGAGGCTGTATGGACAAGACTCAGATTTCTGCCATCTGGTTTCTGAAGAACGGAAAATTCAAGCATGGGGAGACAAAAAAAAAAAGAACTTTGATTGAAAAGAGGTCGAAAATACAGTCTATCTTAAAAGCTGCATGCGAGACAATTGCATTTTTACTTAGGTCAAACACTGATGTAAAACCATAACCAGAAGTAGTTTCTCCTGTTGTACCAAACCACTTGTTCATGTAGCGCAATATCCTGCCTCCATCTGATCCTGCAAGGATCAGCACTGACACTGGGAAGGAAGAAACGCTATACAACTCATAGCCGTGTCTAACAGCTGGCACAAAGCAAATCTTTTCAGGCTCAGACTAATTCCTGCTTTGTCTTCACCTTTGGATACCTAACCACAAATTAAGTATTAGTTCTACTTACCTACTTTTTCCTAGAGCTTTGTATGAATCACAGATTTCTTTCACTATCTCATCTGCATTTGGAAGAGCAACAACAGCTCCACGACCTGCATCAGTACATCAGTGTATTAGTACTATATTGCTGTATTGCAGAAAACACTAGTATACTGCATTTCATTCACTCACCAAAGCAAATATACTTAATTTTGGCCATTAAAATATTATTGAGATGTATCAGGGGAAAAAAAAAAAAGAGCAAATTTGATTTGAATCAAATACTTCCATATACTTTTTGTGGTAAATTTTAGACATTTGAACGCTTAAGCCTAAAATAACTTCAGTTATTTTGGTAAGTATAATAATTCAATCCACTTTTAAAAGCAAAGGACATCTTTTAAAAATCCAGTTACATCTCCTATTTCAGTGAAACAGAAATAGAAGAAAAAAATGTGGACAAACTCATTTAGAAAAAGTATTAAAACCAAAACAAATCTCAGGGCTTTTCAAAGGCAGAAATAACTTTAAGTTTGATTAAAATTTTTTTGTGGATGTTTGATTTTAGCAAGTGACAAGATCTCAAGCTAACATGGTCCTTTTTCTTCTCCAGATACATATATTCCATTTCACAGATTTCATTTCATTCGTTAGATACCTTCTGTGCTTCTCCTCTTAATTTTCTGCTTTTCAGACATACTGTCCTTAGATGTTTTAAGGTCCTGAAAACTGAGAACATGTATCATTAGTTGATTTCCAATCCATCCAAACTAGTAGATCATACTTCATTACTTTGGGATCCTATAAAATATAATAGCAGAATTTTACAAGTACTTGAAATTATTAAAAATTTGTAATTTAACTTAAAGTCCAATGCCCCATCCTGCAAATATACAAAACAAAGCAGTCCGAACACAATTATTATTGCTAAAAATTCAGCATATGCTATGAAAAAATGAAAACTCTCAGTATTGTTTGCTGATATCACCCATATACAGCAGACCAGAAAGTCAACGGGTCACATTTAGAAGAAAATCTTATTTTGAATATATCTTTTATTGCTTATCCTTATTTGATCAAAACTCTCCCTTAGCAAAAGAGATCAATAACAAAAAACTTTCTGAGCACAGAACAGCTCGTACACTGCAATCCCAACAAAGTCTCAGTGATGATTGTTTCTGTAATCACAACGCAGCTCCCACCAATCCTCTATCCTAAGAAACTCAAAAGATTCTTAAAATTAATCTCAATTTTTTTTTTTTTTTTTCTGGATTTGGGCTCCTTCTGAAAAACTTGGGCTTCTGTTTCTCAAATGACAAGAATACATGAAGTAATGAATCAGTGAATTGAAATATCAGCTAGTATTTATATTACATTTCCCACTGTCCTTATTATTTAGCAAACAACTCAGTTTAAAAAATAGAGATGAAAATGTCAGATATGCGTACAAATACACAGAAATAAACATACTTTTAAAGATATATAAAAGATTGACTTGAATTCATTAGAGTTACACAGAGCTACTGAATGCTAGAGAGGAAGATTATAAAGTCCATAATGAAAAATTCAGTAATAATGTGCCTAATATGAATAATGTGTGCATGGACTTTTCTCCATCTAAAGGTAAATAACATTTTCAACATTCATTACACATTTTATTACAAGTTATCCCCAACAGGAACTACCGCTGGCAATAGTTTGGGGTTGGGATTGTTTGCTTATTTGTTTAGCTCATAAATACCCACTTTTAGTCATCTCATAAATGCCTTTTATCCTTTGCACTTGAGCTCAGGACTCTCAGTAGAACTACTAATGGGAAAGCAGCCCAGTGTTGCAGCGCTGCCAATGGTAAGATGAATGCAACAGATGGCAGGTAGCAACTCTGTCCTTCAGAGTCCTTCAGGATCTTGTCCTTTAGGAATGGTTCTATTTCAAAGTCACAACAGAGGTCAGTGGAAACGAATGGCACATGTAGCTCCTGCTGGATTCAGCATTTTGCCATTTACTGTTAGTCAGCAAATGAATGTGACTTTTGTTTCTCATTCAGCAAAAAGTACACAACATGCCTTCAGCATGCATCAGCCTTCTCAAGAGACTCATCCGCCTATCTTAGATTAAATTAATTACAACAATTCTGCATGACACTTGTGTGTGTGTGAGAGAGAGAGGAATAGTGCTAATACCACACAGTGCTGCACCCTGATATCGGGCAGTACTGTCACTGGAGGCTTACAAAGCAGGAAGCAGAAGGACAACCAATATTCTGCAGAACAGCAGCTGTAGAAGCAAGCACTTTTGACTCCTCATTATGCTGAACACCAGATAACCCATTAGAAGGGTCACTATATGAGCCTGTTAAGAGTTATATGTAGAACTTTGCCAAACTTTCCCTTTTTTGAATGTTAAAAAATAATAACAATTAAAAAAAAAATTCAAAATAACAGCTGAAAAAGCTCTATAAAACAGACCGAGGTCAGCCCTTACCGTGTGTTTCCACAGCGAAGCACGGCAGAGGCACGGATTCCGCACGCAGCGCGCGGGCGGCGGGGCTGCGGGCTCAGTCCCTATTCGTGTCCCTATCTCTATCCCTGTCCCTACTCGTGTCCCTGTCTTTATCCCCGTCCCTATTCCTGTCCCTATCCCTATTCCTGTCTCAGCGGCTCGGCCGGCCCGCCGCGCTTCGTTTACACCGCGTTGCCACGGCAGCGGGCGGCGGAGCGGCACCACAGCCCTCTCCCTTCTCTCGATGCTTTCAGAGCTTCGTTTACCTCTACGTCATTTTCCCCGCTATCACCACTAAATTCTCACTAATTATTCTCTGTCTAGCTGCAGGTAGCCTTATGCAGCAGGCCTTGAGGATTACGTTATTTATTTGTATATTTGTGATGGAGAAATAGCAGTTTGTACCGCAGGGAAGCGGAGAAGGGGTAACGGTCACGGACTGAGAGAGTATTTCGGAGGAAACTCCTGTGAGGGCTGGCAGACGCTCTCCTGTGTGAAGGACACCGAGCCCCGTGGGGACACCTCGTCCCAGCAAGTCAGGAATTTATCCTGAAAAGAGGCCCCTCAGAGCGGGGAGAGCTCGACCTCATTCCTCCGTGAGGCGCCGTGCGGGGATGAGGCACCGTGTGAGGCAGCCGCCCCTTCCCGCCAGCCCTTGCGCGTGGGGCGGGCACAGCGCAAGATGGCGGCGGACAGCGAAGTGAGTGTTTGCTCATTCCTCCCGTCCCGTCCCGTTCACCCCGGTGCTCCCGGCCCGCGGCCGCCTCTCCGCTCACTGCTTTTCCCGCTCTCTCCCCACAGCCCGACTCGGAGGTGTTCGAGATCACGGACTTCACCACTGCCTCCGAGTGGGAGAGGTACGCGCTGCCGTTGGGCTGGGGCCGGCGCTGCTCCTCGCAGCCCCGGCGCCTCCTCACCTTCCTTCCCCGGCCGGATTTCGGACTGCGTCGGGCGCGATTCGAGTTCCCAGCAACTCGGTGGCCTTGTTTTTGTTGTCAGCTGAACTGAAGCAGGCAGTCACGGAAGGTGCTGTTGTGCAGTGCTCAGATGAAGCGATTCCTGGGCGGTGCGGTTGCGGTAGGGCTGACAGTGCTCGGTTGCAGTGTATAAGAGGATCTAGGCCGGCTGTTTGTGAACCAGGTGGAAGATCAGGTTTAGCCGAGGATTACAGCGAACATCCATAAACCCCATGTGTTGTAATGTAGCAGTCGAGTACTTGAAGCCCTTCAAAGTTAGCAGAGCAGCATACGGAACAACATCAGGTGAAGGTTGCTCTGCATTCTTATGTATTATTCTTTAAAATTCTTTTTCCAGTGAGAATATCTGCAGTAGAAAAAGACTTTAAGGCCTGTGTTTAAATTGAATTTAGATTACAGTTACGTGTCTAATGTAGTTTTTTTTTTTTTTTTTTTTTTTTTTTTTTCTGTAAACAGTGAAGCAGTGCTCTGTTTTGTTGCAGTACCAGACAAATGAATAACATCAGTCTCAGTTCTTCCAACTTCCATTGTCTTAATGCATGATCTGTATACTGATCTAAATTAAAGCCTGTGTTGGCCATAACTGGGATGTATTTTAATTTTAGCTGGTTGTGCTTGAAACCCTTTTTGCAAACCAGTAATTGGGGGTTGGGGTATGGGGGAAGGGTGAGTAGGAGAGCCAGAAAGCATGTTCCCCTATGTTAGAAATTACCTTTTTGGGAAAAAATGCTGCTTGAAGTATAACTGAAGTGCTCATCAGTGAAGCAGTTGGACTTGCGGATCCCCAGAGGTCTCTTCCAACTCCTATAGTTCTGTGGTTCTGTGGAAATGGGTGAGACTTTATAAACATTCAATGCATGTTCACAACGGTTGCTAAAAATAAGGCTTATCTGGGATGTGAAACTAAAAGCACCACTTTATTTGTACAAGGAAGCAGACTGCTTTTGTTGCAATCCCTGGTGTGTTACTATTTTTTGCATTGTTTTAAAGGAATTCCGCAGCAGGACTACTTGTCTGCTTTTGGGAGTTGAATTACAACACAAGCTGAGCAAGCAATCAGGAAATATTAATACCTTTTTCCCTCCTTACTAGGTTTATTTCAAAAATAGAAGAAGTGTTGAATGACTGGAAACTTATTGGGATTTCTTCAGGCAAACCTCTGGAAAAGGTCAGTTGGTCAGTTAGAGCTTCCACAGAGTGTTAGAAACTAGCAGTACCCATGGATGTGTTTATGTGTGTTCTCATTTACTTAAATGTGGGCAGCTAATGATTTGTGTTAGGAATTTCACTTGTAAAACTGGCTGTTGAACAAACAAGTGCTGTGAGGTTACTGGAATTCTGCCAGATAGACAATTTCCTTGATAAATTCCTTATGGGGGCTAGTGCTATGGTTTCTTTTCATTGCCTGTTTCCATTTGGGAACACTGTTTTAGCTGCTCTCCATTCTCAATGAGCTTGTTTATTTACCTTGCCCTCCCCGGTGCATTTGGCATGCCTCACGTACTGTGGCTGAGGTTTGCATTGTGTTACTTGTGACTCAGTACATCTCATAGAGAGACTTTCTATTTTTTTTCTCCAGAAGTCTAATTAGCAGCTTTCTGGTGGTGCTTCAGTCCTGTAAAACATGTGGGAAATTAAGGGATTTATGGCTGTCATGTTTCCAGAGGAGTTCTATAACTTAATTTTAGAGTACCAAGTATTAGGGATTAAAGCTTATGATATCTAGTGAACTAGTTGTCAGCCATAGCTGTCAGTGTGTTCCTGTATTTTGTACTGTACTGGACCTCTTGTTTTCTAGTGAGAAGAACTTTTTACAGAGTTTCACATGACTTCTAGTAGCAACTGTACAATTCTTTACGTTGCCTAATAATGCTGAAGACTTTTGTCCTTGAAATGAAAGTGATTAACGTGGATTTTAGCGTTCAGCTAAACTTAAGTGCTTTGAGAATATCTTCATAGTAGACGGTGCCTAGCTGTAAAATAAAACTGCAGGAGGAGAAAAAAATGAACAAATATTACACTAAATTTATGTGATCAAGTAATAGCTTTGTTTGTTGTTTTTCATTTTTTCAATTGCTTTTGTTTGTTATTTTCAATCTACAGGGTGTATATACTACAGGAGTGTGGGAGGAGAAATCAGATGAAATTTCGTTTGCGGACTTCAAATTCTCAGTTACACATCATTATCTTGTACAAGAACCTGGTGACAGAGATGGGAGAGAAGAAGGTGTAGAAGGTAGCTGACAGTACTCTTTCACGCCTGAAATATGTCACAGGTGTTGTAAGACAAAAGACAATTTCAGAGTGTTGATTTCATAAGCGTTGATTTGCATCTTTGTGAAATTTTGGGGGATCTGATGGGTTGGACTTGATATTTCTGATTTTTACTATGTCTTACAGTGAACAAATTGCTAAAGAAGTAAACAGTGTAAATGATGGATGCTGATGCTCTTATGTGTCTTTTTTTTTTTTTGCAGATGCCCTTCCCCTGCCTATGCAGGACTTGCTCTGCATGAACAATGACTTTCCTCCTAGAGCCCACTGTCTGGTAAGATGGTATGTATGCTGCCTTTCTTCTCTAATACGGAGAAGCATAGTGATAGTTTGTTTTTCAGTCTAATTACAGTTTTTACTAACTTTAGTAAGAAACTCGGGACTGGTACACCTGAAAATCCTCACATGACTTCAGTAGTGTTTGAGCATTGTTGAATTAGTGTAGTGGTGAGATGATCTGCGGTACTGCGTTCCCAGTCAGATCTTGGCCTCTCTGAAAGAAGCGACACACAGCAAAATAAGAGTCATGTCCTGCTGGCAGGAATTAGGTTATTCAGGTTGTAATATTCCTGACAATTCTGTGTTTGAGCTGGTTTATTGGAACACACAACTATGTTGTCTTTCCCTGCTCTTTCTCTAAGGTACGGCTTACGTGAGTTTGTGGTTATTGCTCCAGCTGCAAATAACGATGCGGTTCTTAGTGAATCGAAATGTAACCTCCTGCTGAGTTCTGTTTCTATTGCATTGGGCAACACTGGCTGGTAGGTGAAAGCATGAACTTTTTTAAGGTGAAACTAGTGTGCTATTTATATAGTTCTTTATTTATTTAGGAAGAAGTATTTAGTTGTTAGTGAATTACATTGTGTTTCTTGCATTTGCACCATAATACTGTTACAAAAAGACTTTTTAAGTATCTTTCCACAGTAACTATATAAATATTGATTCAGTATGTTATTTATATTCATTGTTGTATGGAAACCTCAAAGGCTTATAAAACTGTTGCATGTTGTTGGGATAACTGGCATATGGAACACAACTTCTGAAAGATTTCTTCTGTGTGGTAACTGTGAATTTCTAGTAATTATGAGTAGCTTTTAGTAATTGGACTGAAAGCTAACAGGTCATTGAATCTTTGCATCTGTGTTTCTCATGACAATTTTTAGGCGTTCTCTTTAATGATGAAGTTAAGAATATTTTTCTGTGATTCATATTTAGCATTTTGAATTGTGTTCTCCTAAGAGAAATACATTGTAAAAAATACAGTGTTTAAAAGGCTATGAGCTGGCAGAGATAATCCAAAATGTGGGTGTTTTACAGTCAGGTGCCGTTGTTTGTGCAAATACATCAGAAGTGGCGCCGTATGTATGTTGGAGAGTGCCAAGGTCCGGGAGTTCGAACTGACTTTGAAATGGTTCATCTTCGCAAAGTCCCCAGCCAGTATACTCACTTATCGGGATTACTGGATGTCTTCAAGTCCAAGATTGTAAGTGCATCTGCACATACATACCTGATACTAAGAATTATTATTCTGTCACCTGACTGCCATTCATTTGCTTCTGTCTTCTAGCGAGTTGTTGTGTAAATATCAGACTTACTGTCAATACCAACAGAGTGTCTTCCCAGATATTGTTGCTCTGTATCTAGTAGTAGAAAATTAACAAAAATTGTATAAATTCTCCACTGGCATATGAAGGCCAAATCTTTCTGATTTGCAGCCTACTTGCAACAACTCCCTTTTCCAATAGAGACAAGCTCTACGTGCTGTTTGAAAGGAGAGGGGAAGGTTGAGGTGCATGTTTGTTCTGATAGTTGTAGCGCCAGCACCCAACCTCCTATAAATAGTGAAGAACAATATGATAGTAATCTGAGGGGCCTGGGTGGACTTCTCTGGAGTGGTATGGCTGACTGCAACACTTTGCTGACCACCAACATTAGTCACAATCTCATCAAAACACTGAAAAAGTCCTTACTGAAGACCTGTCATATTCTGTGTTAGTTACTTGTACGTTACCAGCTAAATAGAGCTTGTAAATGTTGCACGGGTTTTAGAATGTTTATGTGCTTAGTTCTAGCACAAGCGTCTTGCTAAGCAGAGGCTTTACTGGTAATTCTTGGTAATTCATAAATTTGATGGAATGTATGGTAGTTTATATTAGAATTAAGTTCTGTATGAAGATATTTTAAAGGATGTGCACTTAACAGTGGATGTTTTCAAGGGATGCCCGTTAACACCACTGCCTCCAGTGAGCATGGCTATTCGGCTTACGTATGTGCTTCAAGATTGGCAACAGTACTTCTGGCCGCAGCAGCCACCAGGTGGGAGTTTTGTGTCCGTGTAATAGCCTGTCTTAAGATAAATGGCAAATGCAAAAGAAAACGCTTCTGTATCTTGCCAGAGGAATTAAAGGCTGTGATGAGCTAACGAGTTCGAAGCTCTGAAGATAGGACTGTGGCTTATGTTTGTGACAGTTGTTTTTTATTAGTATTAGACAAACTGTGGTATGTCTAGAACCATAGTATTTGTTTGGAGAGGAGAGGATAACTGTCCATAGATCTGTAAAGAATTCTGCCCTGAGTTCCACGCAGAACCTGCTGGATTCATGTTTTATAGATGTTACTGCTTCACAAGAGTACTGGTCAGTTATTTCAATAAAAAGATTGATTTTAATGCTTTGCTGTTTATTAACAATAGGAAGAGGAGAAAATCTTGTGTGGACCTTGCTTGAGGTAGAACTTTGGATTATTTTGTTGTTATTAAGCGAAGGAGTTAATTCTTTTATGTAGTAAAAACTGCTGATCAAGCACTCTTGTTGAGGGGAGAGGTGAGGAAAAATAACGGTATCTGAGGTATACATGTGAGGCTTGAAAAGTTTGCACCAGTAATGCTACTTAGAAAAAAAGTCCTAGATGCTTACTTAAGAGCTCACTGTGTGATACTGTGTGCGTCCTTGGCGGTCGTTCTTGAGTTACAAGGATTTGTTCTTACCAGAACAAATTGTTTTGATTATCTAGTTGCAACATTACTTCCTAGTTTCGATTGGAAGCAACTACTTTGGCTATGTGCTAGGACTGTGTTTTCATACCTCTGTCACCTAACTATTCAGTTACTTTCTGATCAGCCAACACATTGCAGTCTTACTTTGAAAATGGCATGATATGGTTTTTCAAAAACCCCATGAATTCTGTATGGGAAATGTGTTGATTTATGTTCAGATATAGATGCTCTAGTTGGAGGAGAAGTTGGAGGCCTTGAATTTGGGAAGTTACCATTTGGTGCCTGTGAGGATCCTATTAGGTAAGATAAAAGTTGAAAAAACCTGTTGGTTTTTTTTTTGGGGGGGTGTAGGTTTGTTGTTTTTTTTTTTTGACTTTGCTTAATGGAGGACTTTAAGGTATGTCATTTGAGCTTTGCTGTCCTATACTGACTGTGTCAGTAGCAGAATGCTATATTATCCAAATTTAATAGCAAGTAACACAACTTGGCAAGTGATATAATGGTATTAGAATTGCAGCTTATAAATGTTCCATCGTAAACTTACAGAGTATTTAGTTTGTTCCTGAAACTGTTATGTTGGAACACGTTAACTGGAGAAAACTTTAAAAATCATATGCTTTCATTCAGCATTCTTTCATTCAACATGTGGACTTGATCATTTTTTTTACTGTCGCATTTGTAGAAGACTTTACATGAGAGAGTCTATTAACTGAGTTGTTACAATACTTCTGATGTCTTATTCCAAATACCCCATCACTACTCAGCAAATCAAAGGGTCATTTAATGTATTAGACAGTATCAAAGCAGTAGGCAAGTTATGTAGGTTTTTCTTTCTGTAGTGGGGTACCATTACAGAGGATAATGCACAATCTCTGCTTTCACGGAGAGGAGTGGAGAAAGGGACCTGTGTGCCAGCTGCCAGTAAGGCTGAGTGCAGTGCTGGGTGATGGAAACTTGTTGGAAATACGCACAGTTCTGTGCTTAGCTGCAAAACCCATGCAGGCATTTAAGCATAAGCAGTCATGTGAGTCAAGATCTTACGGTTGATAGACACTTGTATCTTGTTCTGTTTCAGTGAGCTCCATCTAGCCACTACGTGGCCTCACCTAACAGAAGGTGTAATTGTTGACAATGATGTCTATTCGTAAGTATTTTGTCTGAATTGCAAGCATCTGGATGTGTCCTCTCCACTTGTTAACTGCTGCATTTAAGTGACATTGGGACTCTGTATGTGGCTTTTTGTGGAGTGCTAAGATCTACTGATAGAATGTCTGCTCTGGAAAAAATATTTTTGAAGTGCATTTCTGTGTGAGAAAATGTTATGCTGTGAGCTCAACAGAATGTACATCTTGGGGCATACTGCCATGCTAACCTTACAAGTTTTGTGTATTGCATTTTTTCTTGAAAGGAGGATAGCAAGATTTAGAATAAGGAAAGCATTAGGAGCTCAGTGATTGACATCCCTCTTTCTAAAGAGGAGAACAATGTGCACTTGTACATCAGAAAGGAAGAAAAGACTTGTGGTCTACTGTTTTAAGTAATGCAAAAATAATTTTTCAACATCAGTAGATTTCTAAAGATGATTTTACTTAAAGTTGAGCTGAGTCGTTCTTTTGATTTTTATTCATGTCATATGTCTGTGAAAACGAACTCTTGCTTACATTTTAGAATGCTTTTCATATTCCTCTGTATAATTAGGTGTATATTACAGCTTCACAACTATGAAATTTTATTTAAGAATTTAGTGCTCATCTCTTGTATACCTGTGGTTATGGAATTAAACTTTTTTTTTTTTTTAGTGATCTAGATCCTATTCAAGCACCACAGTGGTCTGTAAGAGTCAGAAAAGCAGATAATCCTCAGTGTCTATTGGGTAAGACATCACAACTTTGTATCTTCTTTTATTGCTTTTAAGCTGTTTAGAAATTAGAATTGAATGATTGATTCCCCGATGACCTGGTTCCTCACTCCCCTAATTTCTTTGAGTGTACTGTATTTTGGACTTCTTTTTCCAAGAACACAAGCTTTGCAAATAGTTTCTTATAGGTTAGTCTATGTGTGCCATTAACTTCAGTGCTGTTCTTACTTCTTCAGGTTCCAGAGAGTAAATGTTTACTGTGCATGTTCTGTTCTGCTGTACAATTGCAGTTTGCTTTGGGTGAGGTCTGGTGCTGTGGAGTGGTGGCTGATAGGTGTCTAGCAGTGCATTTTCTGATACTTAGTTACCTGGTTTAAGGATATTTTGTGCTTTGGAAGAGATTATTGTGTTCATTCAGAAAAAGACAAAGTTGTCATCAGAAAAAAAGAGGAAGTTATCAAGAATTGTTTGATGATTAGCTTATTGTTCAGTGAGAATTCAATCTAGTTGTTCAGAAACTGTTTCTCTTACAGGTGACTTTCTTAATGAATTCTTCAAGCTTTGTCGTCGGAAGGAATCAACTGATGAAATACTGGGAAGGTCTGCATTTGAAGAGGATGGAAAAGGTAAAGCTAAAATCTTGTTGACTTATGTTTTTGATAGTTATTCGTTTCACAAATCTGACCTTTCCTGCCACTTCTCTTGACTTCAGATTCAGCAGTATTTTATATTTTTTACCTTCAGGCATTTTCTGGAACACTTCCACAAATTTGGGTAATGCTTAATATGAATACTTAACATGAATTGGCAATTTCAGCTCTTGAAGGGTCAGAGGGCAAATTCCAATGCTATATTTTTAATTAAATGAGAAAGAAAATGAGACTTTCCTTTTGACTGCTTACGTAGAAGACTTGGTGTTGAGCAAGCATTAAACAGATTCATCTGCATTATTTTCTGTATTTTTATACTCACTACTTTCTGTTTTTTGAAATACTGTGTTATGTGCTTTTAAACAGCCAAATAAGAGTGATATCTGTTTGAAAGTCTTTGATCTCCTTTCCACTTCAAAGGCCTATCTTACTGAGAGAGAAATGAAATGAAGCTAAAACCAAAATTGTTAGACCAATAGGTCAAGCATTATCCCAACAGTGTGGGGATACTGGCATTTTTCTGATGCCCTTGTCCCTTTCTTTCAATTCTCTTACTTTGCATGTTGAATGTATTTTGAAGGAGCTCAAAAACAAAAGAAAAGGAGCTAGCTAGTTAGCTTTAAAAAGTGTTGGACTCTGTAGAGTAAAATCATAGAGTCATAGAATGGCCTTGAACGGGTCTCCAACCAGCAGATCAAGCTGCCCAGAGCCACATCCATCCTACTTCTATTGCTTGGCATAATCTCTTCAGCCCTCCCTTAGCTCTTGTTTCCTTAAAATGTCTGCCAAGATGAGGTTTTCCAGGCTAATAATTCACTGAAATTTGTTTTTACACTTTTAAACAATATTAATTCATTGGTTTTGGAGTTGACCAGCTACAGCTTTGTCTGGAAAATATCTTTTGATTTGAGGAGTTTAACAGAAGAATCCAAAACAAAATAGTGCACAGATTGTCTAATCTAAAGCTCCAGCATAAACTTGCATGTTCTGTTACCTACAGTTTACTCAATTTTACCATGTGTAAGTGGGCTCCTCAGCAGGTTTTTTTTTTTTTTTTGCTGATACTCTGCCTGTCATTATCTGCAACTATGCAGTACTTGCAGTAGATGGCAGGCACTACCTACAGTCTTATCTTCATTCAGAAAAAAGTAAATTAAAGGTGGTTGGTCTGCGACTCCTTTGTGATTCCTGGTTCTGCTATATAACTGTGACCAAGAATTTGTCCTTTGACCAAGGATCAAACATTGATAGCATGAGGGTATAGCTTAGGTTAATAGGGTTAAAATTCAGTGCAAGAAGTATAGATTGATTACAGCAGGTAGACTTTGAGTTGATTTTGTTCTTTTCTTTTTTCAATTGCAGAGGTTGCTGATATCACTCATGCTTTGTCGAAGCTCACTGAGCCAGCGCCTGTCCCAATTCATAAACTATCTGTCACAAATATGGTTCACAGTGCAAAGAAAAAGATTCGCAAGCACAGAGGTGTAGATGAATCACCTTTGAACAATGAAGTTTTGAACACTATTCTTCTGGTAAGTGAGCAGAATTAACTTAAAGAAAAAAATGCTTCTGATGTCATTTTCATTATTTGAATTGCATTGATCCACTCCTTGAAACAGCCTAAGTTTAAATGTTATTTCTTCAAGTTCTTATTTCCTGATGCTGTTGACAAACTGGCAGAGGGATATGAAAGCAGGGCTAGCTCTTCAGCAGGAAGCAATCCTCCTCCAGAGAACGAAGATTACGTAAGTTGTACCAACTGATACTTGACAGAGGGAAGACAGAGGGAACACGATCTGTAGTGCATGTTAATACAGACTTTGTTGTGACCTTCAGTTTTATAATTGGTGAATTTTGGAAAGATACACAGAATGCACAGATTGTATGGTTTTGGTGAAAATGCCATTGGTTCTGTATTCCTGCTTTCTTTTATTTCTCATATAGAATCTCTTCAGTCAGTTTAAATCTGCTCCTTCTGATAGTCTGACATACAAATTAGCTTTATGTCTTTGTATGATAAACTTCTACCATGGAGGAGTGAAAGGAGTGGCACATCTTTGGCAAGAGTTTGTGTTAGAAATGCGCTACAGATGGGAGAACAACTACCTTATTCCAGGGTAAGATTGATTTATTTAATTGCAAACGCTGTCTGCTGCTTTTATTATCTTTCCTTCCTAAAATACGAAAGGAGAGCGAGTAGGGAAAGAATCTGCACACTCTGTTAAACTTGAGACATCTGAAGGAAGCTCCAGTTAAAGAGCATTCCACTGTTTGGAGGAAAAAGAAGCTTATGCAAATGCTTAGCTTCCAAATTATCAGATAAAAATGAAGGAGCTGTTATAGAGCGAAATACCTTCATTTTGTGGTGTAGTTCCACCACTTTTCTAAGGGAGCTGTTCCCAGTTCCTGTTGGTGTAGTTGCCTTTTCAGGCAGATGATGCTATCTCAGCTATCATTCAAACACAAAACTGACCAGGGAATGCAGAATCTGCCTGCTTTATACTGCTACACTTGATCTCTGAGCTTCAAAAATGATCTCTAGGAAGTAAATGTAGTTTAAATTCTGTGCTTGTTCAGTCACTACTTGTCTGCTGGGACTACAAAAGAGCTGCATAGTGGAACAGGTGGGGGTGGGTTTGTTGTGGGTATCTGCCTCTTTCCTGATTTCAGGTGATTTAAGACCATGTGTGTGTGAAAAGTTCATAATTGGTAATAGTTAACTTCTACCTTTTGTTAGATTAGCTAATGGCCCTCCAGATCTGAGATGCTGTTTACTGCATCAGAAGCTTCAGGTAAATATCCCAAATTTCAGAATGATTTTTCTCCTAGAGAAACAATCCAAGTCATAACCATTGTTATTTAAATACGTTGGTTTTTTTTATAGATATAGTTAGGCTTGTATCACTTGGTCTGGATCTCCATTCCTTGGCAAAATCTTTGTTATAGTACCAGTTCAATGAGATTAATGTCTTTTGGAATCGTAAGAGATTTTTGGTAATTCTTCATGTTTCTCTGTGATGTTTTTTTTTCTGTAAAAGAAGTAATTGCTAAACACTTTTCTCCCCCGTACCCCCCCCCCCCATATAACTTGTTAGATGTTAAACTGTTGCATTGAAAGAAAGAAAGCAAGAGATGAGGGGAAAAGGGGGAGCGTGTCAGATCGTTCACCTGGTGGTTCTTCTGGAGATACTGGAAAAGGAGCAGACCACTCTGGAGATTACCTGAAGGAGACTGATAAAGAAGTTGGAAAGTCTTGGGAATCGTGGAGTGACAGTGAAGAGGAATTTTTTGAATGTCTAAGTGACACAGAAGATCTGAAAGGAAATGGACAGGATAATGGAAAAAAAGGAGCAAAAGAAGGCAGCAAAGAGCCTGTAAACCTGAAACCAGAAGGCCGCCTGCATCCTCATGGGAAGCTGACACTGCTGCATCCAGGAGAGCCTCTCTACATTCCCATAACACAGGTTAGATAGCCAGAACTGAGCCACATGTGCAGTGTGACTCTCATGCAGTACCGTTCATTCTCAGGATTGTGAAGTTGCATGTAGTTTGCAGGTTATTTATTTGGACCTAAAACAGAGGAGTGGCTATGTCTTAAGAGTGGATTTTCAATATTTTATAACTTGGTGAAGGTGTTTAAAGTGAAATCTTACATGCTTTTACCAAATTTAATTCAAAACACATTTATTTCATTTGAAATGAAAACTAAGCTGTCTTGCCTACCTCACGCTCTGTTTTTTTTCCTTATTTCCAATTCCTAAGGCATCTTCCATTCCCTTCCTATTTTTTTACTTATGTTTCTGTGGTGTGACACATTTAAGACTCCATATGTTTGGTCATCTGAGCTGATAGTAATTTCCACCAGATGGACCAGAGTACTGGATCAGTTTTGCTACTGCTTCTTGTCTTTTAGAGATGCACTGAGAAATATTTCAGAAGGCCATAGTCATCAGCTTAGGACCTCACTATCTAGAGCAGATTTCCCCCAGTGAACTGGAAACCTTATTTGATTTTCTTGTAGAGGGGTGAAATAGGAAACAATGGTGTCCGAGGAAGTAATGTGAATTCAGCCATGCGTGAATACAGTGGTTTTCCTTTGAGAGAAATTCACCTATCTGATGTTGCTTCACATGGGTAAAAAGAACAAGCAGAGAGCAGTGAGGCAGAATGTCATCAGTTAATTACGTGCTGACAGCATCAGTGGCAAAAATCCTGCATTTCTTTACCACAGTGGGTCTAATCAGAACAGTATCAGTCAAACATCAGACTTAATCTGTTGTTTTTTGTATACTGAAGTGTTTCTTAGGTAGTGTTTGTTTTGTTTGTTAGCGTCCTTTTCAGACGCACAGTTTCAGGTTAAACAGTTTAAGCCAAAGAAACTTACGTTATTTCCTTAAAGTACAAATTGAGTACTGAGGGAGCTGTCAGCCACTTCTTCCTTAAGGAGGGCTAAGATGAGGAGAAACTATTTGTGAACTTGCCTTTTTCTGTCTCGCAGGAGCCAGCACCCATGACTGAGGATTTGCTGGAGGAACAGTCTGAGGTTCTGGCAAAACTTGGGACCTCAGCAGAAGGTGCACATCTTCGAGCACGCATGCAGAGTGCCTGCTTGCTCTCAGATATGGAGTCTTTTAAGGTATACTGCTTGAAAAATTCCACGAGCCTGCTTTTGTCTTCATCAAATTATTCTTCTTGCATGTGTTGAACAATTTTTAAGGGTTTTATAATGAGTCTTTTTCCTTAGACAGAACAGTTTCAAAATAGTTTAAAGTTGAAATTAAAAGCCCATTGATAAAACTGCTCAAACCCTTCAGGATCTGTGGCTATCCAGTCTATTGCACTGTAGTGTTCTGCTGAATTCGTACGGTGTTGGATTTGTGTGACTTTCTTCAGGAGATTAAAAAAACAAAACAAAACAAAACCATGGCATTTTAGTTGATAAACTGGAAATTAAAAATCAGGATAGCCTTTATAAAAGAGGGAGGATATTTATTTTAGGATCCTTTTTGAAGGAAGAAGAAAAGGAACTTCTGTAGTTAGAAGACAGAAGGTCATTGCTGGAAGCATGTTCATGCAGCTTACTGATTCTTTCTTTCATTTCTGTCTTGTATAAGCTTATGCACTGTGGCTCTGAGCAGTAGTTGGTGACCCTGCCCACAGTAGAAGGGGTTGAAACTAGATGATCTTTGAGGTACTTTTTCAACCCAGGCTATTCTATGATTCTATGATAAAAACTTGTGAAAATTTAATATTTCTTGCATTTATGAAGTACCAGGTGAAGCTTGACTTCACAGTATGACTTCGAGTTTGCCTGCAGTAATGTGTGAATCTCCTGGTTTTTTTGAGGGGGGCGTAAGAGGAAGGTTTCTTTTTGTTGATGGTGTGGTTTCCACATACATTCCTCCTCACACCCTACTCCACTGTTTTGCTTTGCATTTGCTTTTTTCCCCTCACCCAGGTCTCTTTTCTAGCATAAATTTTGCTGACTATGAACAAAATTCCCTGACTTTCTGTTCATAGCCTGTGGTGTGCCCTCAAAACTATACTGCCTTCCTACCCAGTTACACTTTTACAGGATTCTGTGAAGTACAAATTTAATGTCGTCTTCATTCCAGGCAGCCAATCCTGGCTGTTGTCTGGAGGATTTTGTGAGGTGGTACTCTCCTCGGGATTACATTGAAGAGGAAGTGGTTGATGAAAAGGGAAATGTGGTAATTAAAGGTGAGCTGAGCGCCCGAATGAAGATCCCCAGCAACATGTGGGTGGAGGCCTGGGAGACAGCAAAACCAGTCCCAGCACGGAGGCAGAAGAGACTCTTCGATGACACTAGAGAAGCAGAGAAGGTAACAATTCTGTGGCTAGTGATGGCTGCTTATCTTTTGAACTTAACCTTAACTGTGAGAAGCAGTTCTGATCGTTAATGTATTAATTTTTCTGTTGTTAAAGGTACTTCATTACCTTGCTGTTCAGAAACCAGCTGACCTTGCACGGCATCTCCTGCCTTGCATCATCCATGCAGCCGTACTCAAGGTAAAGGAAGAAGGTAAATAATGTTTAATAAATTATTATGGTATTTTAGGTTGAACACTAATGCAATAATGAGAACTTGTTTGGTTCTCTTCCTCCTAACAGAAGTACTAGAAGATATATCTTCAGTTAAGAAGATTATTAAACAGATAATATCTCATTCCAGTAAAGTTCTACGATTTCCAAATCCGGAGGACAAGAAGCTAGAAGTAAGACTTCTATGTTAGTTTGTGCTGGAAACTTGATAGACTTGTTTGTGGGAGTGCTAAGAATAAATCTTTTCATTAAAATACAGGAAATTATTGCTCAGATTATGAGTGTGGAAGCTATCATTGCCAGGGCCAGGTCTTTGAAGGCAAAATTTGGAGTAGAGAAATGTGAAAGTGAGGAGGAGAAGGAAGATCTCCAAAGGTGACTGATTTTGTATATTTATTTGCTTATTTAATTCCCTCTAGTTGTTTTGTTTTTTTCCTCTGCTGCTCTTTCTTTAGTAATGTCAAAATTTAGGATACATGGAAGTGATGATAATACAGGAATACTAAAGAGTCATATTTAACATGATGTATTTAATTTGGTGTCCCTGTCCCTATGCTACCCAGGGGTGGGCACCTTGTATGCCCATCTGAGTAACCATGTCTTTAAAACATGTGATATCTACTATTTTGATGGGATTTATTTTCTGTTGGTACTGGAAATGTGACATTTTTGTGTAAGTAAAAGGTGTATGCAATCAACTTTTGTTGCAATTTATGTTAAAATTAGAAGGACGAGGAATTTCATGCTTTCTACAACTAATATGGAATGAATTGCTGCCCAAAGTTACACTTCCTTATTGTAGTTTCCCTAGTAATTCTAAATGTCAGTAAGACATATAAATAAAAAGAGACAAGGCATGTTTCATTGTTGTCACTACCTGCTGTCGGATTTACTTTCTGCTAAAGCTGACTAACGTGTAACATGCTTTAAAAGAAATAAGTAGTTCTTGCTGCTCTAGGCGATGGTTTAACCCCAGTGGGTAGCTCAGGACCATCGTACTGCCCTCTCCCTCATCTTCTTCAAAAACATAGGAGGAGAAAATACAATGGAAAAAATGTTGTGGCTCAAGATAAGGACAGGGAGATCATTCACCAGTTAGTGTCATAGCTTAGTGTGAAAGAATGAGCGATAGGGCAGGAGGCAATCACAGAAGGCTAAGGGGTGGAGAGGAAGTGTTACTCTGAAATGAAATTTTTTTCCTTAATTTTCTGGAACAGAGAATTCAGAGTTAGCCCCTAGTGCTAATTCTGTTAGATGGAGACCCCCGCATGGGAAGCAATTGTATTTTTAGATGAGAAAGCAGAACAAGCAAAAATTCTTTTTTCTTTTTAATCGTTTGTATCACAGATTTGTGAACTGTCTCCTGGAGCAGCCAGAAGTGTCTGTTCTTGGTGCAGGAAGAGGACCTGCTGGCAGCGTTATTCACAAACTGTTTGTGAATGCTCAGAGGGTAAGAGAGTTCTTGACTGCTGCTCTGAGGCCTCAAACCATTTGAATGCAATAAGTTAACATATGCTGGCTGTTTATATTGTCTACATATATCCACGTATTTTTATAAATGTGACTGCATTTTTGGGTGTTTTTTTTTTTTTGTGATATTCAACATGATTTTAGCTACAACAGTATCCCACCAAGAGTAGGTGACCTGTGATGTGAAACTTGAAAGGAAGTTGAGTAGATAGAGCTGTTGTTAATGTTTGATTTACTTTGAATTATAACACTAATGCAATTACGGCACAAATTTCTGCTTCAGTGAAGTTGTGTAACATATGCAACATTGCAGAAAGAACTGTTGAGTGGGATGATGGTTTTACATGGAATGCAGAGAAGCATGCCATAATATTAAATACTTCTTAGACTGAGGCTTATATTCAGAAACTTTCTGGTATGGAAACTTATGTGCTTATGAAAAGTGTCAGTTCTCTCAACTCTGTTTTTGCTTTATTTACTGCCCGTGTCGTGTCTGTTTTCTTGAAATCTTTCCCCATTTTGTATTTTTTATAAATAATGCTTTTTTCCTTAAGCAGTTTTTTTTTTTAATAACTGGCTTGGTAAGTACTGATTTCCGAAGTTCTTGGACTGCAGTCAGCCTACAGCTTCTCTCAGAATTTCAACTATCTGTAGCATCAAATAATCTAAATAAAATTTAACTGCAGTGATAATAACAAGGTGACATAATGTTGCAGAAATCTTAAAGCCTGAAACCATGTTTAGAGATCACTGCTGGAAAAAAAAGTGATTTGGAATTAAGCACTTCTGAGGTGTGGATGCCTTAATGATAATCTGTAATATTTTGCAACTCGGTGTAAAAAGGACCATTCTGAAAACAGGCCACAGTTATTCTGATAAATAAAAATCGAAACATTTGTTTTACCCTTAAGAGAACTTTAGTCTAGTGAAAGTTGTGTTGCAAATCTCAACATGCAGGAGCCAGCTTAACTGAGAAGAATTTCTCTTAAATCTTAAGATTATGCCCTATAAAGGTATGGAAATGTATGCACTTCTTTTTAAATCATGTATTTTGTTTTAGAAGTTGAATTTCTAACGTTAACAAGTAAAAATACATGTAATTTCTACAGTTTAGTTTAGTAGCTTACAGCCACTTCCCACTAGCTGCTGGTCACTGTTAAGACTTCTTAGTGGGATGGGAGTTAATTTGCTGCAGGAAAGCATGTTTAATCTACCATTCATTAGTCTGGTAGAGAGTTGTCTGGGAATTATAAGTTGAATGACTTTATTATTCATTACCTTTTGAATCTGGACTCTTCTCTGGGTTGTGTAAAATATCTTCTTTTCAAACTTTCTCAGGGAAAATATGATAGCAAGTGCATGCTCTTAGAAGTAGAGTGCATGATGTCTCTTAAACCTGCAGTCTCCTTCTAGCCTCTTGTTAGTCATCTCTGACTTGCCTTTGTTTCTATCTTTCATCATTGGTTCTTTTCTCATCCCTTTTCAAGCTGACTGAATCTTCTGATGAGGTAACCAACTTTGTCCCTCATTTCCCACTCATCTTCCTTAGCTGCATAGAGTTGAAGCTTTTGGTAGATAGAGTACAGCCTGATGTGGTTGGTACTGTAGTTCCTGAGCATAAAAATAATATTGTGTTTCCAGAATGGTTTTTCCTCATTTGCAGACTTTCTTTTAGAGCCTATTGGGAAGTGAAAATGAAGACAAATTTAAAATATAAAACCAAAAACAAGAATAAAAAATGCAAACTTTTCTTCAGGTGAATACTAATACTCACTGATGCTGAAATATGTGGCCTGCCTTTTATATTTTTCTCTGTTGCTGTCACTATTTTCTTGCCTATTAAACAGCCAGTTGCTTTGGGGGAAGGTAATGATTTATATAGTATACTGTGTGGATGTCACGATCCAGCTACTACCAAAACTGTTGAGATAGCAAAGCTTATTAAAGCTACTGAAACTTTTGGACAAAAGTATAGAGGTGTTCTGAGAGGGAGAACTAGAGTAACTGAAGAAGTATAGCAAAGAGAACATCCTGTCTGCTTTCCTTGAACTGTTTTTGGACATACAAATGCCACTTGTCCCTGGTGACTGACCGTGTCAAAGGCTGCAGAGCCAGGCAGAACTGGGTTCCTGCTCTTGGGGGCTGGATGGGTAAGAGCTGGAAGCAGAGAGAGTGGATAGGTCATTCTGCAGGTTCTTCTGTGATGTTCCTAGTCTTTATTTAAGGAGTTCAGTACCCTGTTAGGCTATTGGAGAGTGTGTGTGTGCGTGTCTGTCAAACCATCTGAGGAACAGCCAGGAAGTTGGCAGAAATGGCAGAAGTATGCTACTCCTTTCAATATGCAGTTGTAGTGTTGCTGCTTACTGGCAGTGAGTAGAGATAGAGATGGCCCAGTGTTGTTTGCTCTGTGATGTAACCTTAGCAAGCCTCTCTTTGGTCATGGAGAGTACACTGAAGTTACATGTTGAATTTCAAAGGCAAGTGACTTTTTGTCAAGGCTCAGTGGCAGCCCTGGTTACTTCTACAACGAGGGTGGCTTGACCAAATGCGTAGCAATGAAGAGCTGAGGCTAGTTTCATGACTGAGAAAGGGTAGTTTTGTGTGGTGAAAACCTTATTTCATGCTTTTCAAAACCCAAGGAGCTTACCATCCACAAAGGTTCTTCCATTCGATTGTGTGCAGTTTATTTCTTGACATCCCATTAGTGTCTTGTGCATATACGTAAAGCCTTCTGATATTTATCATTGCCGATCTTCCTCTTCTCCTCTTACAAATTCTTTTCTGAATTCTAGTTGCAAGGAACAGCCTGCCCTGTAGTTACACTTCTGCTTTTATTTAAGATTTCTGCAGTGCCTCCGCTTGATGAAGAACTGAGGAGATCAGGTTCAGCAGATGAGCGAAGACTCAACACGGGCTCCATGTCAGACTTCCCCCCGCCCACAGGCCGGGAGATCATCCTGCGCACAACCGTCCCCCGTCCTGCACCTTATTCCAAACCGCTGCCCCAGCGGATGTACAGCGTGCTTACAAAAGAAGACTTTCGACTTGCAGGTGCCTTTTCAGCAGACACAACTTTCTTCTGATGTAACCGTAGCTGTGTTACCTTGTGTGTCTTCACAAGTAGAATGTTACTCATTTTCCTTCAGGGAAGTTAACACTTACAGATCTACCAGCTTGTGGGGAGGAGAAAATAAGGTTGTGGGTAGTGGCAGGGAGTGATAGTCGCAAGGACAGACCTCAGCTGGGATTTGAGAAGAAGGACTCCAAATGCTCCATCTTGGAGGGCTGGAGAGGCGGCAGCAGTGGTTTTGCTCTTCTTTGGGGAAGAAAGTTTATTTAGCCATCCCCCTCTGTCCACATGGAGCACATGTTTTTGCATTGGCTTGTTTAATTATGGATGTTAATGGGCTACTCTCAAATACTTCATGTTCAAGGTTATGCAGACTGTCCAGCTTTACAGTTCTTAATCAGACTCGATAAAGTGATATTAGCCTACTTAAATTGATGTGTAGACATTAATTTGTATTTATTGCTAATCACAAATGTTGAGCTCAGTATTTTTTCGGTTAATCTGTAAGTTGCAAATACTTCTAAAATACCTTTTATTTTATTTAAAGTGCACAACACATTCTAGTTCTTGCCTAACTCTCCTAGCCTTGCACCAGTCATCTGAAAAAAGGTCTTGTCTTTGGGATAAGAGCTACTATAATCCTATTAGCATTAAGCCTAATCAGTTTTAGATGCTTTTTATCCTTCCCTGCATGCAAGGGCCAAAGCTGTATGTAAATTACATGTACAGAGGTTTTAAACCAAAGTGAAGCTTACAGTAGAGACCATTTAAATGCATACTGTCTTTGATCTGATATGATAAACTAACCCCATTGAATATCATGCAAACACTATGACTTGTATGTGCCAATGTTGCTTTACAGTGATCTTACTGTGTTTTAATCAGAATGAGCAGGTCAGTCACATTACAAAATTAAATGTAAAAACTGTGGTATTGTTGACATTATTCAATAAATTTAAACTTACTGGTTCTAAGAACTTTTCAGGTTGGAGTGTTTGTTTTCTTTTAAATCGAAATACTACTTAGATGTCATACTTTCATAGCTTGATATAGAAACAAACTTGTTTGTGAATAGATCACGTGTAAAAAGTTCCTTCTATCTCAAATACTTCTCTCTGATAGACATGCGTCAAGTAAAAATGTGTTACGGATGTTTTGTGTTATTTTTTTCTTTTCTTTTTTTTTTTTTTTAGAGAAAATCTTTCCCTAGAACTTTGTCCCATAGGCTTTGTGTTTTATGAGGCAAATGCCTTTGTTAAATACAAGACAAAGGCCAATTCAACTGTTGCTCAACTGTCCAACTTTGTAAGTAATTAGTTGCACTAGACTAATTACTGAATAAGTTTGATTACTTACCACTTCCTGGTATTCTTGCTTTCCTCCTCTCCTGCTATGCTTTCTTAGTGATTTTTACCTTATACCTGCAGCCTCCTGTATAGGTTGAATAAGCTTGAAAACCCTTCATTTAGCCAACAGTCAGGCTTTTACTGGTGCTTGATCTTTCAATTGTGTGACTGGCTGCTTCACTTTGGCATTCTCAGAGAACGTGAGTGCTGTAACATTTTCTGTCAGCTGCTTAAAGGTGTTTGGATCTGCTGGAAAAGTCCAGTAGTTTTAGTCTATAGAAGACAGTATATTTGCAACAGTACCTATCTTCATCTTTACCTGAGAAAAGCTATGTGTAAAACACTAGGCATTTTCTCATAAGGATATCTAATGAAAGTATTTCAGTGTATTTTAATTAAATATGCCTGGAATTGTAGAGAACAAAATACTTTTAGAAAAAATTATCTGTAGTGATAACATAAAAGGGGCAGAGGAAAGGCACTAAAGCAGTAAGATGATGCTGATTTATTTGAAGTAACTGTAAAGAAAGCTACTTAAACAGTGCAAAATAACCATTAGCTCTGCAATTTAGGTAAAGAGAATATGGCTCTAGCATTTCCCAGGAATTACCTTGGATGAGACAAGGAAAAATGGATATTATTTCTCATGAACAAACCTTAAATGCTAGCTGTTTTAAACAGATATTTCAATAAACATGAACTGAAAGTGCCCTGATCTTTTACACCAACTCAAATGAAGCTATCAGGCCTTTCATAGCCCTTTCCCAGGCTACTGCTAACTTTTACATGTAGTTATAAGACAGTTTTAGAAGAAACACATCACCTGCCTTGTTGTGGTCAGGAGAGCAGAGCCTGTATTTTCTCCAGTACCTTTGACTGAGTGAACGAAGGGAACAATTATAACTAAGCTTCTTAGTCCTTAATAACCCACTACAACTGAGCATTGCAAGATTAACATGAATTTCAGCAGCACTTCCTCCAATTCTTGCAGTTGTAAATGAACTAATATGAAAATTGCAGTACTTCAAAACTGCACTAAGGTTATACATAGAAATTCAGCTTTAAACTGCAGGGCCATAAAAATGTAATCATGATTGAGTTCCTTCCATGCATTCATCCAAGGCCCTCTGGGAAAAAATAAATCAGTATTTTGAATGATTTCTTGTTTTCTTTACCAGTATAAAAGACTGTTTTTTAAAGTGCATGAGGAAAACTATGCAACTATAGTTATAATGTAACTGATTATACTTATTTTACTTCTTCACAAAAAACTGTGTGATATCACAACCATACTTTGTAGTTAAAGAGTGTCTCTTCCTCTGACTTCTTTCCTTGGCCTGTTTTGCAGTTCTCTGGAAAAGAGAAAGGTAAGTCTGGTCAGAAAACAGACTTACATGACAACTAGCTGGAAAACACTAGGCTATACCTTTAGGTTTCAACCTAATTTTGCGGCAGATGACAAATAAAATGCAAATGTTTATTAAGGTGACATTTTCCCATTTGTGAGTAAATGGTTTAATGCTGCCTTTCATATTCACTGGTGCCTTCCTGCAAGGAAAAGAGTAGTGCCATCCCACAGACAAGGCAGCATAGCGACGCTTGTATTAGTTGAGTACAGACTCAATGGGTAACATCAGGTATTTCTTACTTAAGGTTTTTGGTTATTTCCCACCAGTTGCTTCTTTCCACATGCATAGTACCTTGGTGTTGTCTATTTCTTATAAGGTATACAGACTAATTACTGATTTTTACTGTACATATAATAGCACAATCTCAGTAACCTATGAATCAGTTTTAGTTTCTTCTGTCAGTGAAAACCTGTAGTTTGCTACAATCACGTTCCCAGTACCAGGATGTGCCAATGAGGACAGGAGCTGTTGTCAGCCGCCAGAGGGCGATATTTGAGTGTACCACACTGACCTCTCTGTGGCAGACCGTACACAGAGTCTGAAGGTTCCCCAGGGAGCACTGTCCTCCTCCGCTGTAAACAGGCCTGATGTGATCCACCTGCCAGAACTGACCTTCTGTTGGGTTTGTTATAATTTCATTCAACTGCAGGAAAAGGGCAAGACAATGGAAACCTTAGATATTTTCCTCCTGAGCTACATCTTCGTTCTACAGACAGAACAATAAAACTGAGCAAAGCAGCTATTTATATTATTTATACCAATGTTTATGATCAGAGAAAGTGTTAGCATGTTTGTTACTCCAGTGGACAAGCAAACAACTATTGTTTTAGTTGGCACAGTTCTACCGAGTCTGCAGCATGCAACAGTATCAAAGTAAAGCAGAAGGAAAGGTTATTTTCTTGATCAGTAAATTTGTTTTCAATGTCATTTTATCAAGTGCTGCAGTTCACTCAGAAGGTTGTAAGATACCCACACTGCATGACTTGGTCTCAAGTCTTTTAGATTTGTGTTGACTTATTTTTAAAAGCCACAAAAAAACAAAGGTGATCTCATGCATACAACCAATAGAAGAACTGGCCGATGATCTTTTCTTTTGCAAGTTTTAAGTGTGTCTTCAGACTTTATAATAACAATATAGAACCAGCAACTTCTGAAGTAGAATTTCAACTTCACAACAGGACAAAAAAAAAAAAAAAAAGTATTCTTATCTTGGAACTAAAATACTGCTTTGTATATGGATATTCTCCCTGTTCCATTGCCTTCGAGTCTGCAAAAAAGCGATTAATCTGGGAAGAATGGGAGTAGTTCTTCATATGCTCTGAGGTTATGGTGAGGGAAGCTGTGACAGCTGGCTTTTGTTAAGCTACTAACCAACATTCTGTGAAGTAGCAATAATCTGGTATTTACTACATCCATTCCTCAATTCTGTTTCATAACCACATTTCAATTTAAATCAGCTACAACATTTACATCCCTAAAAATCAGAGTTCTGATGCCAGTCCTATTTAGATACCAAAAACATGCTTGTCTTTGAAGACAGATGAAGACAAGGATTTTGTTGTTTATTTTCTTTTTTTACAGTCTTCTATCTTATGCCTGCAAGTACACCATTTTGGTTTCTCTCAACTACCTCCTACACTACTATGGGAATACACAGATCAGCAGAAAGCACTTAAACAGTGCTGTTACCTGCCCAACTGGAAGATGAGACATCCACGAGCTCTCCAGAAGCTTCTTACGCTGAGTCTTAGGTGCATCTCTGATGTTAAGATAGAGCTCTTGGGCATTCTGATGACAAAACTGGCAAACACCATGCTCAATTTCAAACACCTTAGTCCTGAGGTAGCCTTGACTAGAACGAATTGAAAATTCCTCCTGGCAGGAAAGAGTGCAGAACCGTGTGTCCCAGGCAGGGGCCTGGCAGCTTTGGTCAAGCTGAGCTGTTGGCTGCTGACAGTGGAGACAAAGCGGGTTTCCTTCACCATCCAGGGCTTGCAAATAGCCTTTGGGTAGGGAGGAGTTTTGAACTTCAGTCCAATTGGAGGGAAGAACAGAAGGACTTTTTCCACCCTCCAAAAACAACCTGTTTACAGAGATCAAAGTAGAACGAGTAAAGCTGGTATTCAACACTACAATTTTTGCTTCATACATTGTATATTTCCATTAGATATCTTTCATGCTCTAGAATACCAATTTTAATCAAAAGATCATCTCAGTCAGGTTAGTATCTGCAGTCGTCTACTTGGTTTATGTTTCAATTTAAACAGTGTATGACAATACAAAGGAGATTTTTCCTTTGCACATCTTATTGCATTTACACACGCACATTGAATTACTACCCTAAAAGAATGCTGCATTTATAAGTGTTAGCTTGTGTCAGGTACGTACCTATACTCCCAGACTAATGTTTTAACCCCTTTTGTAATGGGAGCAAAATGTCAGAGGAAAACATCCTGCCTTCTCTCTGCAACTTTCACAGCTTCTTAACAATTTCCTACTCTAAACAAGATTTGCTTCCAGCCAAGAACTACTTGTCTGATAAAGAAGGGCATTTTCCAACCAAAATTTTTGTATTTTCTGCCCTATTCTAAATTAGAGGCAGAATGGAAGAAAATTTTCTCTCCTATTTGTAGTCAACTTCACAAGTAAGCTCAAGCTAACGTTGTTGCTTCCTTAACCACGTTGTGTAACTTTTCTTGTTTCACCTTGTTGCTCTGTTAACTAGTAGCTATGTCATCACACAACAAAACTGTTAATAGCTCATTAGCTATTTTAGCAAGTTTCTTTCCTATAACTTTCCTATTACTATGGTTCAACAAGGTAAATATAACTTTGCTATCTTAAAAAAAAAAAAAAGTCTATGAAGAAACAGCTTCATCGCTTTGTTTTTTTTGCATTAAACTCAACTTACTTTGTGGAATGACCTGGTTGTGCCATAGAAGCTTTTTCATTCCTCAGACAAGCTCTACTTTCTTTAGTGATGAGGCGCACGCTGCCCCCACTGCTGCTTGCTCTGCTAAGTGAGGCTGCTGCTACATCCTCCTTGGTCACATACCTAAAAAAACCAACAGTTTTGACAGATGTCACCAACAGTGGACAGAATTATTTAAAGAAAAAAAATGAGTATGAAAAAGTGTTGAAGTAAACTATGAATTATGAATGAGATTGCAGCCCTGATGGCAACTAATGATTTATTCCTGCTCCAAGTAGGAAATATAGTAAGATCTTTTAAAGCTTGCTTTTCTTTTGAGACAGTAATGATTTTTCCTCAAAAATCTTTGGTGAGCTCCAGCTGCTTAAATACACAAAGCAGAAGGCCAGAATAGCTGCTGAATGTGGCAGTGATGGACAGGGAAGCAGATACTTCCATTCCAGCACATTTACTTATGTGCTTAGTTGCATGTTTGTCACTGTGGGACAGTCACTGAATTACCCATTTGTAGCCTTTGGCTTAATTCTACTGAAATTTACATTAAATACATCAAAACTTCCTGCAAAAATTAATAAGGGAAAGAAAAATAGAAACAAATACCTTTTTGTGCTGCTTGCTGCCAACTGCTTTTTACACATCTCCTCTGCAGCCTGAATAGGACTACAAAACAGCTGACCACTTTTTCTGACAATTTTCTGTTTCATTGCTGTTAGATGACTCCATTCTTTCACAAACCTCAGTATCTGAGGGAGAATGCTATTGTCAGCAGCGTGACATCAAACAAATAATTACATTGAAAGCATGCTAAGAATTAACATATTCAAAACCGGATGGAAAAAAAGGTGGTATGATCAGAGATGGTCCCTTCAAGTCAGCCCTTGTGCAAGCTGCAGCCTTCCATCCTCTTCTGCTGAAGAACTTAAGACTGCTTTGGCATTGTCTACAATTACAGTTTTGCTATGACATATAGGTGTGCTGCTTAACAAAGTAGAAAATAAAACCACAAATGGACTTCAATCTAAGCTGTAATGATAAGGAGAATGGATTTCTGAAAAAGTCTCAGATAAGCCTTCCTTGTGTAAGCAAGACTTCGTTCAGGGAAAAAAAAAGCAGATGGGTGAAAGTCTTCTACTTAGAGAAGCACTCCCTCTCTTGCTCCAGGCTTTCAAAAAAGCCAAGTTTGAGAGAGAAAATAACATCCATATGTAAAAATTTAGAATTTATAACGTGGCCTTCTTTAGAATACATGTAGGGAAAAAATGGTTTCATCCCACCTTCATCTTTACAACAGAAAACAAATGAACAAATGAGAGTACCAATATGTCCACCAATAACAACAATACAAAAGAGTGGCCAATATGAAAGCTTTGCTGTTTGTTTTTCCGCACTCCATTCCTTGCTGACTTGCTACATCCACAGTAGCCAATATCACAGTGTTTCTGAACATGGACTCTGGTAACAATAAATACACTGTGCAGTATGATGAGTGATTTCAGCCTCATCCGGGAATGTGCTTCCAAGACTATGATGTGGCAATGATTTTCTCCTTGAAGTATTCTTTTTTCCCCACGACAAACATGGAAGAGCACGGACCAGTCTTACTTTCCTACTCAGAACAGCAAGAAAGAAGTCAGCAAAACTGCAGGACAGAAAGACACATGGGAGCATTTACTAACATGGATATTTTAATCTGCAAAAGTGGAGGGACAGAGATAAAGTTCCATAAGCAGTGTCACCTCCTACAGAAACATGGCATTCTTAAGGTGTCTTCTCAGTCTACTAAGTAGCTTTGAAATTCTTTGGCAACATCTCTGCCACTCATCAGGTGATTCAGATAGCTGTTGGCTGAATCACCAAGTAGGAATTTGACCTACAAATCTATGTTCTAGCCTTGTTGGAAAATCTACTAATAAGAACCAGTCTTGCTCCTACATGATAAAATCTGATTTTCCAAATTATACATCTCTTTAAACATATGAAACGTATTTCTTGACTGTTTCCAACAGATAACATTGCAAATCCAATTTAAATTCTGGATTTCATTACTGTGAGTACTTAATTTGACAATGTTCATGTCTTACAACACCAATACAAGTGTGATTGTTATTGCTTAAGTAACTGAAGCTGCATATCTCAGTAGAATTGTGCCCTACACTGTTTTGAATGTTGTTAGAAGACCGAAGGACAAAATGAGAGTCAAGGCCTGCTCATAACTGCAGCTCTGATCAACCCAGCACATTCTTATTCATCACTCAGCACACAATTTACAACCTTCAAAATGCTATTTTGTTGACTTACAAATGCTAGTTACTGATCCTGTAAATGAGAAATTAAATGATGCCTGTTTGATTCCATCTATGTTAACAGGAGGTATGATAATTTGCCAGAAAACAGTCTGCATAATATCTGCATCAATATTTACAGTATCTGCTCACACTGATGAAACTGTGTGTAGGTCCTGAGTCCTGGAAGTGTTCTGCATCTTAAAAAAAAAAAAAAAAAAAAAAAGCCAAAATACTCCACATTAAATACTGCATTACTGTGCCAGTTGAATTTAGGCTTACCATTGAACGATTTCGTTTGTGTTGGAAATTCTCTGGTAAATCCTCCCAGTTGTCCAGCTGTATGTCCAATGGAATGAAATTCAGATTCAGTGGTTCACCATCCTACACAAACAAACAGTTTCGTTTACAGACAGAATACACTACAATCTAGAAAAAAGAAAAAAGCATCTGTTTCAAATGGATTATCTTCCTCTTCCAACCAAGTTTAGATCTTCAAGCTTAAGACCTTTCTAGGAATGATTTTTCATGTAAAAATGTAAAAAATTATTTCTCATGTAAAAAAAACAAAAGTTAAAAAACATTATAGCATTTTTTCTGATCTGTACACAGCACCAATGTGTACCTTTCTGAAAATGTGGTGGCAATATTTTATTTACCTACTTCACCTGCAAAGATTCATTGATTACTGCAACTCCAAAAATATTTGGGAATAGCACACTAGCTACAAACAGGAGAATAATTAGTCATGCTAATGATTCAAGGTAGCGGTAAGATTTATAGCAAGAAAAAGAATCAAGTATTGTTAGCATTTTCAACAGATGAGCTGAGCATAAATGTAATGCACTGGCACCTCTGTGTAAACTAAGAGAAGTGTTAGAAGCTGTATAAATGAGGAATTACTGCTTCTTCAACAAGAACTAGAATGATAAACCACCTAATTTTTATACATTTTCAATAATATGAAAATAGGGGTTTTACATAAAGCATGACAAAAGAAACTATACATGCCTATTTTATAGGACAACAGTCTACTTTGTACTTTTGAAGTGGTAATAAGCATGCTTATTTCAGCTTTACCTTTGTATAGAGGTGAATTCTATCAGTATTCCTGCTTGCACAGAACATTAGCCCATCATATACTAGAAATGCATCTGATTGATCTAAATATCCAATACAGAGAAACAAGGTTAAAATTAAGAGGTTTACTTCATTTAGTCTACTCAGATAGTAAAAATAACCACACCTGTCATGTGTGACATTTCCTGATTTCACATGCCTACAAACATATTTTTGTATAAATTCTACATTTCTATTTTTCACCTTTCCCACTCCCTCTGAGTTTTCAGGAGTCATTGTACAAGCTCCAAGACCACACTAGGATTCTATATTTAATTCCAGAACAACATAAGATGCACACAATACAAGCAACAAATTATTAAGTGTTCTCCCGAGTTTTTTAGGAGACAATCTTGTTTCTCTTGAATCTCCCATTATTTCATTTACCCGTGGCTATCCTGAAGATAAATCAATGCCATCATAAATTTCAATAAGACTGTATGCTGTACCTTAGGTTTATACAGCTACTAGTTTGACATAATTGCTTTGTCAACCAAAAACTTTCTATTTCCTCAGGTTTTGTATGAAGAGTGCTTTAGATATCAAAATTTGATAAACATCCCAGGTTAAAACAAGAAAATCACTGCTAGCCTATCTTTCATATTTTAAAGTTCTTTTTCATGCCAGAGACAGGAAATACAATTTCACACATAGGATATGGACACCTTTTTTTCCCCCACAGGAATCCCCTATTACCTTTTCCACACCTTCTTTCATTTTCTTCACTTTTGATTTTGACAGCTTCTTGTTCACTAATTTCAGACTGCTTGGTCATCAATTCCTCCAAATCTTCTCTTCCATCTTCAGCATCCCATGCTGCTCTCTGTTCATCACTTCTGGAGTCTTTCAACACGTCTTTTTCAGTCTGGCTAGTAGGAACTTCACAGTTTCTCTCACCTACAGAGAGAGAAAAGTGATCACTTACACTCTCCTAATAAATTGAGAGCTAATCAATAAACGGATGGATAAAAAACAAGCAACTGAAACACTGAGAAATTGCATTTTATTCTCTAATAATATAATGGTTCAACCACCTATGAAAACAGGGCTAACTTTGATATTAGGAGAATAAACACACGGACCAAAGTGTTCTAGTTATGCAATTTTGTGCAGCCAGCTTTATGAAGAAATACGTGCAATCAAACAGCTAGTTATTATCCACTACATTCATTTACCAAACACCATAAGCACATTAAATAGCTTTCCAGCATTTATACATACTTAAGAAATTGAGAAGTTGACCTTACTTAATCAAGAAAAGATCTAAAAAGAAAAAAAGAACCTTATTCTTTTCTTTCTAATGCAAAAACTTAACATGGAGAGAGATTTATAAAAATATTTACTAAGTTCTCAAATAGCTGGAATAAATTTCATAGAAAACATTTATTCTGACCTGTATGAATGAAAAATGCTGTATTTTTAAGGCAATGTCTCCCATGGCAACTACACAATACTGAGGCTAATAAAACCATCTATGTGACATCATTTAGTTTTTGACATGTAGAGAAAAGCTTTTCAATTTAATTGGATTATATAGAATTATAGAATATATATAGAATTATATAGAATTATATAGAATAACTACAAACCTTCTCAAAGAAAGCAAGAGCTACATTTGCTGTAAAGAAAATTAAATTTATATTCTTACTCACCATTTTTATATCCAGTTAACATTCATCTCAATTCTCTATTCGCTTCAAATTAGAATCATACAAAAGATCCCCAGGAAAAGTTAAATTAAGAAAGATCACCTAAAAGGTATCTGTCTATCTATTCATAGAAAGATACTATTCTTCATGTTTTGCTTGTATGTGTGCATGCTCAGATTTAAAAATATTTATTTCCTGAAACTAATCACAGCTGGAATGAAAAACGCACACTTTCTCTGCAGCACTTACCTTTATTGCTCTGAGGGCAATTACACATTTCACAGTAAGGAAGCAATTCATTATTACTGTAAGTGCAAACACTACAGTGCCAAACTTTGTTTAAAGCTGCGCCTTTGCTTGAAGCACTTGAGCTGCAAGGAAGGACTTCACTGTTCTTCTGTGTGAAGAAAGCGGACATTTTTCCAGTCAATGTCTTTTTCTTCCTGGAGCTGACTGGCGTAGATCCACTTATGCTTCTTGCTCTTTTAGCTTCATGAGGACAGGCACTTTCATGACAAGTTGTATCCACATCACTTATTCTTGTGAAATCCAGATCTTCGCTGCTCTTCTCTGAATCCTCTTCTTTCACGGCTTCAAAAGACTCTGCATCAACCTTTAATGATTCACTATCTGATAACATTTTGCGTTTCTTTGTAGAGGCAGATTTTGGGGTAAAGAAGGAACGTATGTCATGCTGTCTTTCCTGCTCAAACTAGGAAAGAGGAAAGAAATACATAAAGCCATCTTTATGATTACTGCATCAGGATTGGTTAAATTTTTCTCCCCATTAGTAGTGCTTTCTAACACAGGAAGCTAGTTTAGAGATGAAAACAAAAGATATTTTCCTTTAAGCAGAAACAGCATAAAGAGCTATTCAATGTTGTTACCTAAAAATTATTTTCAGTATTCTTATCAAGATTCTGCAATAGCACTAATGACAGCAAATACACAGAACAGGTATGTTACGTAGGCTCCATCAGAAAATGTACAAGGAAAGACTTCTAAACGTTTTCAAAATAACTGTGCTGAATTTTAAAGCTATTAAGAAAGCTGTATTTTAAACAGAAATTACATTTCCTTATGAGACTCTAAGGATGAGTCAATCACCTAAAAAAACAATTAAAGCTGCTATTTAAAACCTGTAGATTATTTTATGCCCAACAGATCAGTTTCTCCAGATTAACTTTCTGAACTTGAACTTTTTTTTTTTTGCCACTCATACAGTATTTCTCCAGTAGTAAAGCCTGCAGTGCACACAAAACCTAGGTGAGAAAAGGTTAGATCTTAAAAAAAAAAAAAAAAAAAAAAAAAAAAAGAAATAACAATTAAAAACATAAGTTTTGAGTATTACATGTGTAAACAGAAGTTCATTTTGGAGATCTTCTGCACTGTCGTTAGGGGTCCAAGCTTCAGCAAAACTCAAAAAATCCCATTTCTCCTTATCACCTACTTCAGCCTGCATTCTCTCTTTTTTGCCATTCAAGGTGCTGCCTGTAACGCTGGCCTGCAAAAAGACTTGTGTAAAGGCTCTTACAAATTTACAGGTAGGAACAAGTTCATTTGTCTAAATGCATCAAATTTGTTACAACTGCTGAACTAAGCTTGCAAGAGAGAAATGAGAATATCTGCAGTAATTCAAAATAATGTTAGTGATTGAAACTATTCTTCCAGCTGCCCTAATGGAAACCATTTCTGCACAAGTACCATATATATGAAAAGGTATATGTAAAACATCAATATTTACTGAAGTTAAGAGATTATTTACGTTGTGTACATATCTTTCTCAGTAGTCTTTAGACATTCTGCTTAGTAGATGAAGCCAAAGGCAGAATTAATGGAAAGCAGGAATTTAGTGATTAAACTCTTAGCCAGACAATCTCAGATCCATAGATTTGTCTTATTCTAGAACGTTATTTGCTAGCTGTGCTTCAGTGGTATCCAAACCACAGTGAATCCCCAATTATTTGGTTGTATTCCACACGTACCTTGCGATTCAGCATTGCCCACATAAAAGGATCCAACGTTCCTTTTGCTATAAGGAAGTGAATGTTCACAGAACTGCACTGCCCAATGCGGTGTGCTCTGTCTTCTGCTTGCTTAATATGGCCTGGATCCCAATATAATTCAGCAAACACAACGTGAGTAGCAGCAGTGAAAGTCAAACCCTAAATAAAGGAGTACATCAATTTAGAAAAAAGATTCTCCCCACAAATCTACACACTGCACAGAACATTTTTAAATGTAGGTGAGAGAGACCACCTGGACACACAAAAAGAAATACAAGCCAACCCTCTACACTTATTCCAGGTAGATATTAGTAAGATTCAGAAAACACTGCAATATTGTGCAAACACTGCATACAGCTCTTCATTATGGAACTAAATGTTGCTTTTCATTAATCTGGTACTTCCAGACAGAAGGTGCAGGTTTTTTCTGTTCTTTTTACTAATTATTCAACCTACTGCTTATGGTGATTTTGCTCATGTAATTTCAAGAGAGGCTTAAAACAGTTAACATGACTGGTGCAAAAAAAATGAACACATGATTCTGCAAAAGATGTATTACATAAATTGCCTTCAGTAAATAACTTTAATAACCTTCATTTCCATTCTTCAAATTCAATTTTTTTTTTTTTTTTTTTTTTTTTTTTTAATTTATTTGTATTTTTATTTTTATTTTTTAAATCCTACCTGACCAGCTGCCTGAATACTCAAAATAGCAACCCGGGTATCAGGATCCTTCTGAAACTGATTAACAAGATGTATTCTTTCTGCAGAAGGAACACTTCCATCTATCCGTATGTAGCGAACCTATAACAGATTTTAATAGACAAATGAAGTCATCCCTTTTTAGATCCAACCACCTTCTTTCCCCAGTACTAAAATATCTGCTCTATTCCAGTCATGCAGATAATAGTACCTCAGTACTATTTTACCTGCTGATCTACAATTAAACCTATTTATCAGAAAGACTATAGACTTAGTACTACCTATTTGCAAAGTCTGAAATTAAATGAGTGCACATTTGTTAAATAATTACCTTATTTTCTATAACTGCCTCTGCACAAGCTTGAAGCATGCTTAAGTGGTGAGCAAAAACTAGGAACTTCAGTTTGTCATTTTCAAGCATCATTCTGATATAGTCCTTCACTGCTCCTGCCTGGAGTAATAGAGTATGTTTTCATCAGTTAGATGTATAAAATGTTCAAAATGACAGTTTTCACTTCAATGTCTGAATGCCATTCTATTGGTTAACCATTTAAGACTTTATCATACACTAACGTTAATTTAATAATTATAATTCTGTTTCAAGAAGTAGCACAACTTTATGTCCTAATAGCTAAATTTGTCCCATTTCTTTAGAGAAAAAAAACCCTTCACCCTCACAAGATCACAAAGTTAGATGGCATTTCTTTCAGATTAAGATGAAAATAAAAATGTGTTCAGTTACGACATCATTACCTGATGTCTGAAATCAAAATACAGAAAGCATTTAATTTCTGACCAAACATATTTTAATCATACAAAGTATTGTTTAACCAGAACTTCTGTACCAGCAACTAGAAAACCATTAACAAATCATGTAGAGTATGACACTATAATAATAATATAATAATTGCCCTATTTAAATACTCACATAATTGCTGTGTTAAATATTAATAGTGTTCATCAAATACAATGACAATAAAATAACAGCTACTACTAAAATTTGTCACTGATCAGTTGATAAAAAGATTCTGAGGGCTGCTGCATAAACAGTATTGCATTTTCCCTCTTTCACTTGAAAATGAGCTGACAATGACAGAGAATAAAAAAGTAGGGGACAAGGTAGCAACAGAACCACGCTGGTATTTTTAAGATGAATAGAATATTTAAGATAAACTCCAAGGATTCAGATTCTTAATTCTTTTTAAATATGCTTTTCTAAATACGGATTAGTGTAAAGAAATGTGATAACAGGCTAAAAAGTAAACACCTAAAAGATCCATTCATTCTCACACCTTAATTAAAAGAGGAAAATACAAAACAGGTGTCCCATCTGATAAAATAGAAAGACCACTTAGAGAAGGTTATCATTCTTCATATACCCATGGGGAGAACCAGTACTGACAGTGCACAGTCTGCACAAGGGCTGCATCAGCAGCATCCTGTAATGCAAGCCAGCTGGGTCAGACAGCTGCAGCAGCTGCCTACACAGTTACGTTCCTGGAGCACTCACCTTCAGTGCATTCCTAAGTCCAAGAGATGCCAATACAACTGATTTTATTAACAGAAAACACATTGAAAAATTAAAATATATATTAGTACTTCTACACTTACCTTGGCTATTGCAGTTTCTTTATACATACGCGTGATTAGATTCATGACATCAACAAAATGGCTGTCAGTGGGCTCTGAATTCAACTTCCTCATTAATTTCTCCCACTCTGCAAAAGTGGTATTCAAATTCTAATTGGAAAAAGAGATCAGTGGTTAGGATAGATGTACTTATCTTTTACAGGTTTGGTAGAAGCTACTAAGTATGCTCTACCACAACACTGACTTCCATGAAACATCTAGGGATGGAGTACATTTGAAATCTCTGTCAAATCTGCCTAAAAGTAATTGTAGGATTCAATACCTAATGAAAATGAAGAAGGAAAGACTACCATATTAAAATTAGGGTCAATTTTACATCTATTTGATCCCTTCTCAAGATGACATACCCATATTCTTCACATTATAATAATAAAAAAAAAAGCTGATGCTGTGCTATACATGTAGCTACAAAGAATGGGAGAATATTTACACATGCTTATATAAACACATATAAGAATATATATGAATATATATAATCACACAGACATTTACTAACAAATATCTTTTTAGCTGATGTGGAAAATTCACCTTAGCTGCGGCTTGTGGGAGATCAAATGGAATACGCTGTCTAACTTTGGGAGGTAATTGTGTTAGAACATCATTCTTCAGTCTTCTGATCATTATTTTTCTTAAAAGTTGATGTAGTTCTTCTAAATTTGAAGCTCCTCTACAGTCCCATTGTTTTCTTTTACCAAAGAATCTGAAAATGAAAAAAAATAAAAATAAAAAAAATAAAAAAAAAAATCAATATTATTTGGTGAACGCTAGCTATTCCAAACCCAATGGAAGCCTGCAGTACACAGTTCATTGTAAGACACAGATATGAAGGCATTTAGGATAACCAGGAACACTGAGCGTTGTTATGTTGGAAAGATGATTGCTTTCTGTCTGATTCCTTCCAACACTCAAGGCAGAGCTCTTAATTTCTAACCCACAGACCTGACTCCCCATCAGACAAAGTCCTCTATCTCATCCCGTCTATCACTAATCAGAAGAATCTACCATAGTGCTTCTTTATGATATTAAAGAGGGTAACAGCTGATTAAGAAATTAATCATAAACGCTGCAAAGAACATCATTGAAATTCCTTTCCTGTCCCATCTGAATTCACTTTATGTACATTCAGGATTCAAAGCTAAATGCTCCAGTTTAAAATGTAATTGTATTAAAAAAGCAAGGCTAAACAGGGGAAGTAGATTAAAAGTTAAAAAGCTCAAGGCTAAAAAAGAGAAATAAATTAATAGCTGTGTTTCTTTTTCTTTCTTTTATTTTCAAGGACATGCTGCAAGAGAAGAGCTTCTCTGTGTCAACAGTGCCAAGAAGCAACAAAATCTGTAGCACGGCAGATTTTGCTGGGTTTGGAGAAAAGCCCAGGTGGCATTTCTCAAAGACAGGAGAGTACAAGTATGTAAATTTTACTGGTATTACTGGTAATTTTTTCCTTAAAAGAAAAAAAAAGGAATTTTAAGCTTTATTGGGCTTATAAAGGTACTATTGATTTCAGATGGCTGATTATGACCAGTGTGGAAGGAGGTGAGGACTCATTTTTACACTGGCAAAATAATGGCATAACAGATCACTAGACAGATGGAAGGCAGCTACAACTTTTGCTCTTATCTTTTCTTCAGTGTGTGTCTGGTCCTTAGAAAGCATTCATCCCTCCAACTTGAGCACTGGGGATGTAAGAAATGGTAGCTGAAACACTTCAACCCTCATCCTTAGAAACAGGTGTCTATAAACATCTAAGTAAAAAACACTTTCACAGAAAGTTCTGCATAAAATAAAGCTACCAAATGGATTACCACAGGATGTTAAGTTCCAGCCAAGTCATGACAACAATGTTATCTGTTGAGAGCTTGCTAACCCGAATTTGATTTTCAATATATTTATGGTATTCCAAAAATAAGATAATCATCTGTGATGGAGTCGTTAACCATGCTGTACCCACGCACACTTGTGGTGTGAAAATTACAGATGCATTTAGTCAAAACACCATAGAAAAAATAGCATTTCTCCATCTGAAAATCAGACAGCACTCTGTTATTAGAAGTCAGATGCTGATAAAACACATATATATGATAAGAGGAAAAATGCCCAAGTTACATGAAAATGAAATTAGACAAGTATTACAGTAAAAATTAAATCTAAATGCTAACAATTTAGCTGACAAAAACTACTAGTTTTAGTACATGCAAAATGGTAGCTAAGAAATCTTTTTAAAGGTTCTTTCCCCTCTCATACCTTCTTACAGTGCCCATATTTAATCTCTCAAACAGAACAAACATACTGCTGTGCTTTTGGGACCTTTTTTCTCCTTTTGTTTGGTTAATCTAACATATGATCTTCTTTTCCACAAATGTTGTAGGACAGCAAAAAGACTGAATCCCATAATAAAGAGATAAATTGTTACATGACATGAGCATTGCAATGAGAATCAGAAACTCAAGTTTCAGCTCTAGCTGAAATGCCAGCTCAAAAAGTAAAACCTATACTTTTCATATTAACAGTAAATTGGCAAGTCATTTTACTGAACAGAACGTTGGCACTTACACTTTCTCTCGAACTTTAATAGCTTCCAATTTATTCCTAAAGTAAAGTCTCCCATCAATTCAATCCTCTTGCCAAACATCTCTAAACACTGAAAAAACCCCCAGTGTATGTATGTGCCAACCTATTTTCTGTTTGTACAATGTATTTTTGATATTCTTCCTCTGTAAGGTCCCTAATTCACTTTGATGGAAGAGATGGTATCACAGAATGGCTTGGTGTGGGCAGGATCTCAAAGGTCACTTATTTCCAACCCCCCTTCCGTGGGCAGGGTTGCCAATCACTGTATCAGGCAGCAGATCAGGCCCCATTCAACCTGGTCTTGAACATCTTCAAAAACGATGCATCCAAAACTTCTCTGGGCAGCCTGTTCCACCTCCCTGGGTCTCTAAACATGACGGTGTAATACCACAATAGAGACACTACTTATTGGTTCTTTCATTTCATATGAGAGGAAAATCAAAGTCATTCATGAGAAAAATACAAGGGCAAGTACAGTAATACCTCAAACGAGCATCACAGTATTTTTTGGCATATTCACTCCAAGTTCCAAATCTTCCTGGAAAAAGTGCCTCAATCTGCATGAAAAGCTTTATAAAAAAAAAAAAAAAATGTCAGTGACAAACTGCCTTCAAGGATAATACTATTCAGAAATAATTCTCATTTATTACATGCTTATTGTGTTAAGCTTATATCCACCAGCCGTACTACTCATGAAAATAACAAAATTCCATGCTCAATATTATTGATGCTATCCCTAAAAAAAGAAGAAACAACACGCAGGATGCTAAATACCTCCTCGGGTCTACCGAGCGCAGGAGTTCCGGTAAGAAGAATTGCTCTACTGGCTTTCTGTACAATGGGCAATAAAATCTTGCTGCGTTTAGCATTTCTGGATTTCATATAGTGTGATTCATCAACCACAACTACCTTGAAGTTCTGCCTATACAGAGTGTCTACTAAAGTCTGGGCATCAGAAGTTAACAGGCCATATCCCAGAATCGTCACTTTGCTGCTTGATATTCTCCTAAAAGGGAAAATTCAGAAGTTGTCTTAGTACATTTTTACTGCAGGAAAATTAACATAGCAAACAAGTTCCAGAAAGATTTTTTTTTTAAATAACAGAAGGCAAGTATGATGTCTTTTGGATTGGCTAGTTATAGAGTTGTTAGATTGACTAATAATATTGGCTATTCAATTGAAATAAAAATTCTAGCATCCTACATTTCTAAGTTACACACATTTCATTACCATTTTCAGGGGATATCATTGTGGTTTAACACCAACAAGCTAAGCTACCATCATGACAGACTCTCACTCACCCCCCTCAAATGGACAGGAAGAAAATATGAAAAAACCTCGTGGGTTGAGAAGACGACTTTTTTTTTTTTAATTAAAAAAACCCAAACAAGTATTGGAAATGATTTCTCACAATAGATTTTAAAACATACAAGGACATAAAGCACAAATTGTTTTTAAAATCACTAGAGAGCACTGTAGCCCTTCAGGAGCCTTTAAACACAGAAGCACAAAGTTGTTAGGCAAACAAGTTACCAGAACAAGACATAAAGCTGATCTATTCATCTGTCAGAAACTACCACTCTGCTGGCCTGATTTTCATTTGTTCCCCAGTAGAAAGAGATCAAAAGCCAATCCAAAAAGCTAAAGTTTCTTACAGTACTAAAGAGTAATTAAAGTTTGTGCATGTGTACATCCATGCTTCTAGACATGGAGGAAGAGACCTAAGCATATTTTAACCTATTTATATTAAGAAGGTAATCAACATTCAAGCAGTACACTTTGTTGCTGAAGTTCAGAAGGAAAGCAAAGTACTGAAATCAGAGAAATCAAAAGGTTGAACACACAGAAGCACAATTTCCCAAAGCTAAACCAAGTGTGTCAGCTCTGTTTTTGGATTTTCTTACAAATGCATAAAGCATCCTTTATGTTAAAATATTCATTAGTTCAACAGCTAGGAAGCCTCCTGGGAATTAAATAGAAAGCCAAGCTTTCCTCTTATCTCGTTGAGAACAAAGGTAGTAATGGTTATGGTTTATTCCTTTTAAGAACTTCAGAATGTGAAAAGAACAGAATTCTGTTTGCCATTTACTTTTGTCTTCACATTTCCCTTATTCCACATTTCTCTTTGCTGCATTCAGCAGTGTAAGCATAGTTTTTATGTGCAGTTCAACTGAAATGATAAAAAAACTCTCGCTTAATGGATCTTTATTTCATTTCCCACATTCCTCTAACAGCTTTATTTTGATTAGCAATAGTAATTATCCCTCAATTAAGATTTTAAACATATTTTGAATTGGATTTGTCTGGTTACAGTTACCCCAAGGAGGATTCCAAGCTATTTTCTCATCTGCATGTCTTGGCAGTCATTTCCTGATACTCTCCAGACAACATGGAAGTCAGTCTTCTTTGTCCAGGTCTTAGAACAATATCTAGACACTGCTATGAAATTAACCAAGTTATTACAGCAAAACAGATTACGAAATACCTTTTTAGTTCAGTGCTTCCTTGCAATAGGAGAGTTACTTTAATAGCATTAAGACTTGTAGTCCCACTGTAACGAATTTAGGCTTCTAAAGCCTAAAGATGAAAAACCTGGATCACAATGACCATTGCAGTTAGAGAATACTTAGTAACATTTAAATTTATCAGTGCTCTAGATAGAAAGTTAACTGTAATTAAGTCCTTATTTTCTAACACACACTAAATTTTTTTTCAAAAATGTGTTCAAAATGTTTTCCAGAAACTAACAAGTACAATACATCAGAGCTGACACATGGTCAATGTGTTCAATAGGAAACACCCCAAAGTGACCAAATCTTCAGCAGACAGCCTTGCCACTGTGCAAAAAATCAGACCTTTCAGTTACAGAGGAGACAAGAAACAACCACAAAACCCATCCCTCTGCTGAAACATAAAACCCAATTGAAATTTCTTTCATCTTGCTGAAATCCTTACTTTTCATTATGAACATCTATATATTGTGTGTTTTTCACATACATACTGCCATCAGTTTACAGAATGAAACAGGACTTCCTAATGAATAATAATGAACTTACCCAATATCAGTTTTGTTTTGAATGATAATAATATCATCTGGAGATAGTTCTGGAATCCACTTTTCCATCTCATCAACCCAAGGATATCTCAAAGATGAAGGCACTACTATTAAGAGAGGCCATTCCTTCCTGTAGTAGTAGGAAATAGCAATTGCTTGAATTGTTTTACCTAGTCCCATCTGTGAAAAGGAAAAAAAAAAGCTGAAAACAGAAGTTATGTTTGGAAATCATTGTTACTACAGTTAATCTATCATGAAAGAAGATGCTTCTCTTTAAAGGGATTCACACATACTGTATATTTGGCTTGCTTGTTAAAGCTCCAAGTATCTTTTCCAGTGATTTCAAAAGGCTTTTGGTTCAGAGACTTAGTAGGATAGACTATGAAGTTGACCAAACTCTTCAGCTTGTTAATTTGTCAAAAACATTTTAAAAACCTATTCAAAGGAAAGATAAATATTGCCGAGACTGAAATCTCCTCAAGCTTCTTCCTACTAAAAACCAGAACTTGGAACCTACATCAGTCCTTAAACATTACCTCTTTTACATTTAATTGTTATATATAACTTTTTAATCCATCATGAAGTTTCAATTTGCGATTTCTTACCATAGATAAAATATTTTTGTAATAAATTTAAAATGTTACAAGTCATGAGTTTCACTATTAAAGAAAGCACACCCTAGGTTTCCATCAAATTAAGTATTTGGTATTTTCCACTTCAGTATTTTCAGAACATCTAGGTAATACCACAGGAATTGGGCTCCACTGCCAACTCTCCTGAATGAAGCATGTTAAACCAAGAAAAAGTGACGTTAAAGTAACAGGAATCACTTACCTCATCAGCAATCATACACCTACAGGTGCAATAAGGGGGAAAAAAAGAAAAAGAACAATAGTAAATATAACTGATAAACCAATCGTTATAAATTGCTTACTGTGAATGTAAGTTAGGCATTCAGCAAATCCTGAATATTTTCTTTGTGACTAAAGGAAAAAAGAGAGACTTCCTCTTTAGAGTGCCTTTGACAATAACAGTAAAAGTAATTTTGGTATGATTGTAATAGTAAGTACACCAGTTATTCTAAAATTGTATACTCAATTTGTTAGTATTACTGAAGAACATACAGTGGAATTGAATTGCTGCTTTGGTTTAGTGCTATATTAAATTTAATCTTAAGAGACAGCGCAAGAAGTACATCTTCAATTTTACTGTCTTTCAGGAACAGCATCGTTTTTGATTCTTTGTGATTAAGGGTCACTTCTATGGCACGCTGATTTAGAAAAAAAAGTCACTTCCAGAGGTGTTCCATTTGTTTTGAAATAGAAACAGACGTCCTCTCACCACCCCAGCTGTACTGGGCAAAGCATTGGAAAATGAACTTGATTTTTTTTCCATTTAGAAGCCCTTTACTCCAAGCAAAGAAAATAATGGCAACTCTAGAGGCAATTCTTTAAGTAAATTTATATTTCCTGAACAAACACTACCTCTGATATAAATTTCTTTATAGGTATGTTACATTATGCCTTAATACAATTAATATGTATTAATACTCTGAAGTCTGAAAGGATTTGGGGAACTTAACTGCTCCTGGCCCACACAAACTCCTTCAAAAACATTTTGAAATTAGACCAAGGCCAATGGAATTATTTGTTGGACATTCAGTTACACCACCAAATGGTGGCTGACGTCACCTATTTCCAACCGTTGTACCCTCAGCTGTTTCACAAACTGAGCTCTCAGCTATTTCACAGACTTTTAGCTCTGCTATTCTACAACTTCATACAAGTTGGAAAAAAGTACACCCCCACCAAGAAACCAAAATCCCAAGGAAAAAAGAAACCTCCAAACACAAACCCAAGCAAACAAAAAATCCAAAGATTATCCAATTTGAAAGCATTATCCAAAGAATTAAGAGTTCAACTCTTGTAATTAGTAAGAGTTTAACTCTTGTAATTAGACCCCCTATATCATATTCACACACCAACAAATTCAAAGGAAGATAAAAAACGTTAATCTAAGAAAGAAGAAAAAAATCTACTCCCTTTCAGTCTTGCAACATGAGGGTGACTTAAAGTTCTGTTTTCCTGTAACAACACCAGACTGCACAAAGCTTCAGACTTGCTAAGAACCTTCTTGCCACAATCAACGCTAAGATCTAAAAGCAAGATCTAAAATGATCACAAAGTGCCAACTTCTGCAATCTCAATAGCATTCCCTGCTGGAGTTTCAGCTAAGTAACTGGAGGTTGGATTAATCCTCCAGCTAATAAATAATCTGGGGAGTTTTTCAAGCACTGCATAATTTTCCAAATTTTCATAAAAAACGAAGTGGAAGAGTAACTCCCACTGTTTTGTATCATAGTGCCACCCAAAAGGCTTGGTCACACCACTGAGAAATACAGCACTGGGTGCTGCTGCTTGAACTGAATGGCAGCAATAGATTGACAGCTGCATGCAGTTCATCATTTTGAAGATTTGTAAATGTTTACTGACAGAAAAGCATCAAGTCTTAGAAATTGAGACAGTTCAAGGTCCAGGAGAGAATGAACTTCACAGGCCACTCTGCTTGTGTCCCAGTGTCCCATCACATTCAAGGGAAAAAAAAAAAACAAACTAAAACTAAAAATAAAAAGCCCAAGGACTTTTGCCTTGAGCTTTTGCTTCCTATCCCCAGTAGCTTTCAGTCACAGACACAAATTAGTCTTGATTAATTGCTCTGGATAAATTCCCCACTGCCTGTTCCCCACCACTGCATCTTCTGAGACAACAAACTTCTCTGCCACACGAGTAGATGTGCACCCACTGCACCATGCTACTCAAATGAAACATTCCTTCTGTGAAAAAAAACTGAGATCTTCCAGGTCTCTGCAACTGTAACTAAATTTAACATAACAAGACATTAAAATTCTGTATTTTGATACTAGAAACCCTTTAAAATAATACAGAACTGCTTTTTCAGTGTTGGGTGTATGGAAATTCATGCAGGTACTCGAAGTACTAACAACATCAGCTGTGATCACATTCAATAACATACATCTTGCCATGGGGCCAAAATGGACATTCCTATGGCCAAACTACAAAGCTTGGCAGAAAACATAGAGGCAGTTCCCAGAACTGATGTGCTGGATACAGATTTGATACTCTGAGAGCTCTGGTACATTGATGCTTGCTCATTCAACCCGAAAGTGTAGATTTCAACATCAACATTTTCTTTGTACTAACACACACACATGAAAATACGCATATTATATAGCTTACAGTTTTGTAAGTTGCAATCTACTTGTAACTCACTTTATAGCAGTCCCTCAGCTTTTTAGATGTTTTCCACTTCAAACTTGGTTGGGATGGAACAATCAAAAAAAAAAGAAAAAAGCCAGAACAAAATATAACTGCTAAATCCACACAGGCAAAGGAAAAAAAAGGCAGGAAGAGAATATTTTTAGTGGCAACCTGAGATCGTGGAGCCTTTGTGTTTGTGATTTGCAGCTGGGCAGAGACATTAATTTGCAGACAACAAATACACAATTCTATTTTTAAATAATGCCATATATTGCTTACTTTAAAGAATGATTTTTTTCCATTTAATACAAATTGCTTCCATTATACTTCTAAAAAGAATTCTTTCTTGCAGATTCTTAAAGGTGGCAACTTCTCTCAGTAGACTGATTTTTAAAAACAGTTTGAAGACTGAAATTGAGTGGAATGTACAACAACCTAATGGTGGAGAATCATTGTTAATTTCAGTTTTAACCCCTTAAACGAATGCAGAAAATAAGTAGCAAACAAATGCAGAAATGTAGCAATCAGCTACATACAAAGCAGAGGCATCTCAAGATGAAGCTAAAAACATTCTTTAATATTGTATTTAATCCTAAAGGATATCAAAGGGAATGCACAAATACAGCAATATCTGAAAGTACGTTGCATTCAGTAGCATCTGCTGGTAAGGAAATGTGGCAGAGAGAACAGGAATACAAATGTTCCTTGCCATCTTGTGCTGATAAATACAGTATTTCTCAGTATATCAGCTTCTATTTTAGCAGAGTATTATGAATAATGAAATGAAAATCACGTCACTTTAGGCGTGCATCTCCTACACAGCAGGAATAAATCTACTTTAGTGTGAGCCACACATTTTAAAGAGATGAAAGTGAGAATACATGAGGTCCTATTGCACTGTGTTTTGGTGCATGCAAACCAACTTCTTGGACCTTCATTCTGTTTTTCAGAGAAACAAGCCAGAACAAAGAAATTTATAAATTGCTCTGACAATTGAAAGCTAAGAGCAATCAAAATAAAAACTTAAAAGTATGTCAGCCACAGGAACAGATTTTTTTCATGAAATGATATTTTTTCATTAGTTTATTGCAGCCATTTACACTTTGATGACTTAAGTATCTGCAGGACTACAGGAAGTTGTTCTATTTCACTGCTTTCAATTATTTTCAGACTCTGCCCATAGAACCTTCTGTTTTCAACTTCAAGTGAGTATGTCTTCAGTGAAACCTGTTATGCAGCAGTGCTACCCAGAATAGCACATACAATTTGATCACTCACATCCATGGAAGATAAATACAAGCCAAAAGAGAAGTGGATAAGAGCTAATAGAAAGATTAAGGGGCAGCTGAGCCTCCCATGGTAGGAAATAACAAGAGAAACACAATTGCTTCATCTCCAAAAGGAAAAGCTGAAATGCAATGCTTGTTCCACCTCTCCCTGTTCCATAAATCCACAAAAAACAATTTCAGAGATAGAAAGACTACAGTGTTGGTACAGAAAAGTCTCAGCCTATTAACACATTGAAGCTAGAAATTAGAATTACACTCTTAATTATACTAATAACTGTATCTGTGAAGAACCACAAGGGGGAAAAAAGTTACTAATTACAAAGCAGAACCCAAATTTTACAGAGAATCAGCCTGGACCTTGCCAGCAGCACACACATCTCCAATTCTGTGTTCCCAAACTGACAGTACAGTTTCTGTTAATGGTTACAAAGATATGGTACTTCTACATACACTTCCCACCCTATTAAAGAGCTGTAATTCAGCAATAAATCTTCAAATCTAGTTCTCTCCCATCTGTTCTGCTACAGTAATTTGTAGTAAAAAATCAAAGGCTGAAGCAGGGAAACTACTGGCTTTTCTTCCTAAGCTTGCAACCCCTACATCGCTTAGGCATAGAAACATTAACTACATACATCATGGACTGACATGAATCAGGTGCTCAAAAATTGTTTTTAAAGCTGCCCTGAAGTTTTCAGTCTTGGAACAAGTCTTAAACATGACTGCTTAATGTAGTTACAACATCTAAGTCGTCCAGTATCTGCTCTTAAAGGCACAAAAAATAGCTTATATCCACTGAGAGGGAAATCACCAAGAGTCCCCACATTTTATAACCACAAGGATTAGTTTAGAAGTGTATGGAACTTCCCTATCATTACAGCCCAGATCATACAGAACTGATCGGATACCTGATAATTGCATGATACCATTTCAAAAGAAATACCCCACATTTTGCTTTATGTAACCTTAAAAACACGCAGCTGCCATTTATAACAAACGTCAGTACGTCCTACATTGCTGCAGTTAGACAAGCTGCCAACATGAACATAAAGAAACAGATCTTCAGATACACGGAAGGGACAAATGTGTACTTTTAGTTCATATATTTTGACTGCAAGAAGACAGACTTCTCGTTCTCTGAAGTTCAATTAGTCATTTCCTCTCAACTGGTAGTTACCCAATTTGAGCTTCATCGTTCATATCCCATCTGTTCAGCTGACACCTCAATAATAGCTCTATCCAAGAATAAAAATCAGAGCTATGATACGCACTTTCGCATCCTGTTTTAG